GTGTGGTAAAGTCACATCATTCAGGTGGAGCTGCACACTGTTGGTGGTGAGGACAGACCCCATTCACATGATTGTAAAGCGCTCTGGGTGTATGGCATTAATGTGATATATACAATGTGGAATATAAGTTGAACACGTCTCTAAAGGTGCTGTTGACGATTCTAACCCATACATGCAATGACAACAAATCTTACTAATTAACAAATTAAGGTATGTGTTTATAAAATTGAATGAGGCAGGGAAAAGTATTGAACACATGAAGAAAGGGAGCTGTAGAAAGGCATGAAAAGCCCAGAGAGTGGCTGAAATCTCTCAGTAGCTTTTCAGCAACCCTCTGCCCTTCCTCACTGTAAATTATTATTAACTGCTTCAGCCTAACATCTACATTTTCAGGATGATGAAGATGAAACCAGGGTGGACATTTTAACGAGAAAATTATTGCCTGGGAGATTCTCAAATGCTTTCAGAGAAAGAAAATCAAGCTGTAGAATGGCCCAGCCAATCACCTGACTCGAATCCAATAGAGAATACAAAATAAAGATCAGATTTGAAAGCCTGTTATTTTATTCTGCCCTGTTTTGAGTTCGATCTGCATCAGACAGTCAATGAAAAGACTCGGCAGCGTGCAGACTGAGGCTGTTCCACCATCAGACTAGCTGTCTACCTTATAATCCAGGCTGAGATAAACATCCCTGTTTACTTCTAAATATCTAGGAATTTCCCTTCAGGCATGAAGCTTAAAGACACAATTTTGCATGCCAAATAATCCAAAGATTTTTATGAATCAGAATGTTCACGATCATTGCAGCCGATCGTCTGTTTTTCCTGAGATTTAGCTAAAGCACGTCCCCAGGGTTAAACGGTCTCACTTGAATGGACAGTCCTGGGGGTCTCGCAGTGTGAGGGATGCTGCCAATCCAGCAGAAATAAAACCGTTGCCAAAAAATTGGAAACCAATATTTTATGTTCGTTAAGTTGGCTTTGTGTCTTGATCCAGGACATAAAGTTAATTAATTTTAGATGAAGACGAGCAAGAATGTGAGTGATTACATGAGTAATTTAAGACCATGATGAGGAACCTCGTAGGCATGCTGAGAATTCTTCGCATAGTTGTCTTTGTGTGGATGGGGTTTTGTAACATGCTTCATTGGCAAAAAAAAAAAAAAAATGCAATGGGTCTGTCAGCTGTAAAATCTCTCAAGATCTTTGTTATGTGGAGGTCTAAAGGTGGTCACTAGTGTTAATATTGCTTTTGCTCATGCTTGGTGTTAGAAATATGAGAAAACCCATTAACACTTTTTTCTCAAACCACCCAAAAATGAAACTTATGTTATTAATTACACACCCTCATGGCATTCCAATCCCCTGAGACCTTTCTGAAGATTCCAGAGGTAATCAAAGTCAGTAAAAGAACCCAAAACATTCCATGTACCTTCGGTCGTACAAGTGTAATATAAGAAGCTTCAAGAATGCTATTGTGTGCCAAATTAAATGTAAAAACATTCATCAGACCCTTTAATCAACAGCGGAATGAACCGCTAACTTATTCAGCATGTTTTACACAGCGCATGTCCCCCCAACTGCAACCCAGTACTGGGAAACGCCCATGCACTCTTGCATTCACACACATACACTACGGCCAATGTAGCTTATTCAATTAACCTATAGTGCATGTCTTTGGACTGTGGGGGAAACCGGATTAGCCGGAGCAAACCCACACCAACACAGAGAGAACTTGTATCTCTATACAGAAATGCAACCTGACCCAGCCGGGACGCAAACCAGCGACCTTCTTGCTGTGAGGCGACTGTGCTAACCACTGAGCCACCGTGTCGCTCAATGTAAAAACTACTTTTTTTTTAATTTATGCCTACCATCTTATGTTAGGGTGCACATTAAATATGGGCAATACAAAGCTTGTATGTTGTGCTTCTAAACATGCACCCTGACGACTTTCCTGGACTTAAAATGTCTCAGGACCATTGCTGTCTATAAAGGACGAGAGAGCTCTCGGATTTCATTTAAAGCAGTGGACCTCAACCTTTTCATCACTGCGGAATGGTCAACGCTTGACAATTTTACCCCGGATCAAGGGGTTTGGAGAGTTGCTAGACGACCATTAAAACCCTATTCTCGGAGGAAAACAAGCTGACAAAGCATTGTCCCTCTGATAGAAATTTTATTTATGGAAAAAGTAACCAAGAGAATACGGTCATTTTTCAAAATAAAAGTCTTTTCAAAATAAAAGATTGTTCAGACTCCGATAATAAATAAAAAGGAAATAATGATTTCTTGGGCGGACTGGTACCAATCGTGGCCCGGTGGTTAATACTAATCTAAAACACAGGTGTCAAATCCAGATCCTGGAGGGCCGCAGCTCTGCTAAGTTTAGCTTTAACCCTAATAAAACACATGTGATCGAACTAATTGAGGCCTTCTGGCTTGTTTGAAACCTACTGGTAAGTGTGTTGAAGCAGGGTTGATACTACACTGTGCAGTGCTGCAGCCCTCCAGGAACTGGATTTGACAAATATTATCTAAAACATGTTCATTTGCTTTCTCAAAGAAACAAGGTCTCCAGGGATGACATGACGGTGAGTAATTAACCTTTTGTTTTTGTTTTTTTGAGTGAATTATTCTGCAAGCTTTGCAACCGATTGGAACAGGGGTCAGAAATGACACAATCTCAATAGAAAAACAAACGACAAGTTTCTGTCTATAAACTTTAACAACAAAACACATGCAAGAAGTAATTCAATAAATATCGTCAGACAAAAGAGAGGATCATGCAATATTGGATTTCTTCTTTTCAAAAGAGGTTGATTTGCAGTTAAAACAAAAGAGAGCATCATGAAAGCTATGCAATTCTTGCTGTAGTTTTGTTATAGGTCTTTGACATCTCACTCAGAACTTTCTTTATCCTCTATGTTGCTCAGTGAAGCCTTTCTTTTATCCGTCTAATTAGCCTGTCAAATCACATTGTTTTTGCATTTGAGTACAGTGAACTCACTGTCATGTTCAAGAAACCAGTCTGAGGTGATTTGTGATTTATGGCACGTTATCCTGCTGGAAGTAGCCATCAGAAGATGGGTACACTGGTCATAAAGGGATGGACATGGTCGGCAACAATACTCAGGTAGGCTGTGGCGCTGACATGATGCTAAGTTGGTACTAATGGGCCCAAAATGTGCCAAGAAAATATCCCCCACACCATTACACCACCACCAGCCTGAACCGTTAATACAAGGCAGGATGGATCCATGCTTTTTTTGTTGTTGATGCCAAATTCTGACCCGACCATCCGAATGTTGCAGCAGAAAACGAGACTCATCAGACCAGGTGACGCTTTTCCAATCTTCTATTGTCCAATTTTGGTGAGCCTGTGCGAATTGCAGCCTCAGTTTCCTGTTCTTAGCTGACAGGAGTGGCCCTTCTTCTGCTACTGTAGCCCCTCCGCCTCAAGGTTTGACGTGTTGTGCATTCAGAGATGCTCTTCTGCTGACCTTGATTGTATCTAGTGGTTATTTGAGCTACTGTTGCTTTTCTATCAGCTGAACCAGTCTGGCCATTCTCCTCTGACATCAACAAGGCATTTGCGCTCACTGGTTATTGTCTCTTTTTCAGACCATTCTCTGTAAACCCTAGAGATGGTTGTGTGTGAAAATCCTAGTAGATCAGCAGTTTCTGAAACACTCAGACCAGCCCGTCTGGCACCAACAACCATGCCACATTCAACATCACTTGAATCACCTTTCTTCCCCATTCTGATGCTCGGCTTGGTGATCGTCTTGACCATGTCTACATGCCTAAATGCATAGAGTTGCTGCCATGTGATTGGCTGATTAGAAATGTGCGTGAACTAGCAGTTGAACAGCTGTACCTAATAAAGTGGCCGGTTGGTGTATTTCACAGGCATCAGCACTGCGCAGTGCTCAGCTTGTGTTTTTTGTATAATACACACAGTGTGATTGTCAGTCACTCAAAGAACTTGTCCACTAGTGGGTACTAAAGTAAATGAAAGAAACTATTCTGTTTGTTTGGTTTTCCACTTGCAGGTGAAGCTGTTCACTTAATCATGTCAAATGTGGCTGTTTGTTTAATCACGTAATCTCGTCTACATTGAACCAAATTTCTGTTTGGGCGTTTTGCATTGTGAAGCCTCAATTACCGAAGACATATACGGGATAGACAGTCGGGCCGTGGACACGCTGAGGTCATGGGCAGGGTGTGTTTTCACAGCTGAGTTCTCTCATCCCTTACACACCCACCTTGGACACGCAGATGGCATATTTCAGCCATGTATCTAATGATCCCAGGTATGCCAAAACCATAAAGTCCCTACACAGTTTCTCAAGAATTCGACATGAGGATGGGTTTTAAATGTCTGCACATGAGTATCCATATTGGTTCCTGATGTTCTGTTCGCTTGACTATTTTCTCACACTCCTCCCAGCAAAACAGACCTCAGGACTGCATTTCATCCACTGCAATAAATCAAAAAAGTTGAGCGTTTAAATGCAAGGTGTTTCCTTCCTTTAAGCATTCAACTTCAGGCCCATATTTCACTATAGACTGCTGCTGCTGCCTCGAAATAGTTTGAAAGACATTCTGCATTGATTTATTACTGCTAGCTTGGCTGTTTTAAATTCAGGCAAACAGGGGAAGATGAGCTCTAAACTGCGGTAATTATGCCAAGCATCGCACCATGCCTCGCACAGCTCGACGTGTTAATTGAACAGAGTTGTGCGTTTCTCGACAGTAAGGGGAGATGCTACGACTGTGAATCCAGCACACGAGGGGGGAGCGAGGGAGATTGTGGGTGTGTTAGCGCGTGAGAGAAAAAATAGGGGAAGGGAGGGAGAGAGGAGAGAAATAAAAACAGCACAAGAGGACAGCAGACAGCACGGAGGAAAAATCCCTCTGAGGTTCCACCATGTTCCTGCAGACTGTCTCCATCCTCTTCCTCTCGGCCGTCCTCTTCGGCTGCCTGGAAGGTAAGGTGAAACTCTCTCTCTCTCTTGCGTCTGATTGTGGTGTTGGAACGGGGCGGTTGGGACCAGATCTCGGTGGGAGGGAGAGAGGCTTAATGCTCTGATAGCCAGACCTGTTCAGGAGCTTCGGATGCTGGAGTTTCACGCATGTCAGAGGATACGAGGTATGATCAAGCATGATAGGAGGCTGTGCCTGCCACAAACAGGATGAAAAGGAGTCCGAATCAGACCACGACCCTCAGTTTTCTCCGCAAACTGTTGAACAGGCCAGTTTACATGCGTGCGGTGTCAGTTCTGATACTTGCTGATGGGTTCCAGGTGGGAATCTCTGTTGAATTCTGCTGCTGGTTTGTAATTTCTCTCTCTCTTTCTGCCAGGGAAGGGTGTGCAAATGCAGCGAGATGTTCAGTGCTGCATGCAGTACTCTCACGGAAAAGTCCGGACCAAAGATGTCCTGAGGTATGAGAGGCAGACGGAGGGGCCGGATTGCAGCATAAGAGCCATCATGCAAGTATTCCAGGCATCCTGGAGCAATCACAGACATGGAAAATATGCCCTATTAAAGCTCACTGGCATTGCCGTCTAAGCAGGTCAGATTTTTATTACTGAGAGCGGTAATTGTCAGGCAAGCAGAGCAAAAGAATGCACTCAGGCTAGGTGGACAATGCCCAAACTGTTTCTTCAACGGGGCCAATTTGGCCTGCGCTGACTTGAAGCGTAGCAGATTAAGAGATTTGCGATTTTGCACTATGTAAAGAGAGAGCTCTTGAGATCTTGGCGCTCACGTTCTCGCTTGTCTGAATCACGGCAGATTGTACACCAAAAAGGCAGTGAAGTGCGCTGATCCGAGGGACAGGAAGGTGAAGAGGTTACTACGGAAACTGAACCAGAGGCTGGGAGCCAAAGCGCGCAGGACCATGTGGTTACATCCACATTTGAATCTGCCTGTTATGTCGGAGGTAAGATCTCCGTGGGTTTGTGGAAATTACGGCAAATCAAAATATGCATCGTGGGCCAGAAAGTGTCTTGAAGTAGCATTTTCTTTTCATTTACAGGTCGCTGTTGTGAATTCCCAAAAGATGAACAAGGTAAACAACATGTGTGGGACATTAAACTGTCAGCATTTACACACCTTTTACTTGTTTCAAACCTTTGTTTTGTTGAACAGAAAAGAAGATATGAAGAGTTCAGATGCAAAAAAACGTTTGAAATTTCCTTGAAAATGAGCATTTTTATCAGACTCCTGTCTGTTGGTTTAGTAATTTTAAGTTTATGGCAAAGAAAACAGTCTTTCAAATGTCTTTCAAATGAAATAACTAAACATATACATATGAGTCTGAGAAAAATGCTCATTTTAATAGAAATTTCAGACACTTAGCACTTAGAGGTTTTAGCATCTGAACTCTTCATATTTAGATGAAACCTGTAAACATTGACTTCCATAATCTTCGTTTTCTGTCCAACTATGGAAGCTGTAAGCTTTAGCTTTGTTTAAAATATCTTCTTTAGTGTTAAACAAAAGACAAACTAAAAGGTTTGGAACCACTTGGTCAGTAATAGTGAGTACGTTTTCATTTTTGGATGAACTATCTCTTTAATTCAGTAGAGTGCAACAGGAGGTAAACATTTCATACTTCTTTTTTTTCATTGATGAATTGATTTCAAGCGATAATGCATCAAAGTCTGTACATTACTTGGTAGACAGCATTTCAGTTTGTGACAACTACTCTATCCATAGTCCCAAAGAGTGACCCACCAATCAGAAAATTTCCTTGGAAACTCAAATTGCAGCAAAGGGTTTGAAACAGAGTTTCTGAAAATTTCATAATGCCAATTTTAAGATTTTTTTCATACTCATACTCAAATTGGCAGGGGGCCATTTCAGTGACTGACAATTCATAGGAGGGCCGTTTCAACATTCAAGCACAAGAAAAAAGTGACATAATTGGTGCATCATATGACAACAGACATGATGTTTAGAATTTAAGCATTACATGTCACAAATCAACATGTTTTTGCTTCACGCAACTGCTGAAATATATAGTTGAAGTCAGAATTATTAGCCCCCCTGTTTATCTTTTCCCCCCAATTTTTGTTTAACAGAGAGCAGATTTTTTCAACACGTTTCTAAACACAATCATTTTAATAACTCATTTCTAATAACTGATTTATTTTATCTTCGCCATGATGACAGTAAAAAATATTGGACTAGATATTTTTCAAGACTCTTCTATACAGCTTAAAGTGACATTTAAAGGCTTAACTGGGTTAATTATGTTAACTAGGCAGGTTAGGGTTATTAGGCAAGTTATTGTATAATGATGGTTTGTTCTGTAGAAAATCGAACACATATATAGCTAAAAGAGGCTAATAATATTGACCTTAAAATGGTTATAAAAAATTTAAAAACGCTTTTATTCTTTTATTCTATGAAAAAGTATAATAGCAAATACTGTGAAATATTTCTTGCTCTGTTAAACATTATTTGGGAAATATTTAAAAAAGAAACAATATTCGAAGGGGGGCTAATAATTCTGACTTCAACTCCATTTTGCATTTTGACATTTAAATAATCATAATAATGATAATAATAATAATTATTATTCTGTGCCAAACAATTGTTGCTTTACCAAAGGTTTAACAGAGAGCGTAGAAAACAGAAACAGTTTGGGTAACTTTACTGACAATTGTTCTTCTCAGTATCTTTCTTTTCTGTAAAACTACAACAAAGAGGGGAAGCTAATATATTCTATAGTATATAATCACATTTAGTTGAATATAGTATATATTCACATTTACTTTACCATGTTCAAGCCATCCAGTAGTTAAATGTACATAGTTGTCATAGAAATCTCAATACACATATGAGGAAAATCTATTACATTCGACCATTTGAATTAAATATTAGCAAAATTAGCATATTTGTTACACCACCAGCATAACGTGTAAGCCATGAAAAAGTGTTTGTTCATGAAAATACAGGCGGTATAAAACTGATAATCAAACGATCCTTGAATATTTACAAAAGTAGAGCTTTAGTAAAAAATAAAGCACTTATGCACATTTATTTCAACGTTTAAATCAGCCCCAGAAATAATCTGCATGTGGGTTACTCTCTACCACACGCTGAGAAAAAACTAAAGTAAAATACAGTATAATATATTGCAGTACTTTAAACGTCCTGTAGGTGGGGGTTAAAACCAGAAGTGGCTATATGGGACAGCACAACAATGATAGTGATTCAAAAATATATGTTTTACTTTATATTTTTGACGTCAGTTGCGGGGCAGTGGCAGGACGAGGGCGGGCCATTATTTCAGTATTGTTTAATTTGTATTCAAAATGAGCTATACTGAAGACAGGTTTGATGCATACTTGAACTACAGGAAAAAAACACGGCTTTCCCAAAAATGTACGTGCAGGTCCAGCTGTTTCATTTTAGAGGTGCGATTCAGACTTTCATCAAACATCAGCATGAACGGTATTATCACTTTCGAAATCAGGTCTCTTGATAAACGTAAGCGAATTGATCTTTCCCGCACTGAAATGATTTAGCAGTCTGGAAACATCGTCTCGAACAGTTCGCCTACCCTCAAAGTGTTGAATCTGACATAAAAAAAGCACACTGATATCGCTTCCGGGGTTTGTAGAGCTGCAGTGTGAGCGTTACCTAGGCAGTGAGGAGCTAGTGTAACCCCACCGGTCTTAAACCACCTAACCCGCTCCAAGCTGGTTTCAAACCGGCGACCTTCCGCATGGGAGCTAGAGCAACTTTAGAGGTCAGAGGAGTGAGGTTTACCTGCACAGCACACACTAGCTGGCCTCCGTTACACTCACCCCCCTAAACCTCACTCCCATCCGGGTCATGGCACCAATGTAACCCCGCTGGTCTTACACCACCCAACCCGCTCCGAGCTGCTATCAAACCAGCGACCTTCCGCATGGGAGTCGGGCGCTCTACCAAGGAGGCTAAAGACCATGGCCTCTAGCATCTGTCGCTAGAGCACCTTTAGAGGTCGGAGGAGTGAGGTTTACCTGCACAGCACTCACTAGCTGGCCTCCGTTACACTAGCAGATACTTGGCAGAATTGGCTGATGGCTGTCGTTTGCTGGAGACTCTTCATGGCAGTTAGATGTTTCTCAATTTAGCCATGAGTGCCTGTACACCGAACATTCCCAGTTTAATTGCTTTTCTGCATAGTAAACAGTAGGCTGTAAATAAGGTGTTAGCAACTGGCCTTAGCCAAGCCCTATATTCAGTTTTTTTCAAGCCAAGTATTGCTAAACTTGCCTTCCCTATAGCTAAAAATGTAAATTAATTTTACGTCTGCAACACAATTCGAGGCTGCATCCGAAACCACCTGCTGATCAGTAGGTACTGCATTTTAATTCAAACAAAGTACTCGACCGTTAGAAAAGTATGTTCTATACAGTATTAATGTGAGCAGTATGAATAAAACTGGGACGTACTACATTCGCCATTTTGTCATGATCATGAGACTACCCACGTGAGTTTGCGTCGCTTCACTCTCATTCACGAATTCTCTCGCAGGGCATCATGGGATATCGTAGCGCCCATTCGATGCGCACTTCAGAATCTCGTCGGAATTAGTAGGTCATCCGGGTTCATCTCGCATACTGATTTATCGAATTCTATAAATTTACACATACTACTCGCCTCACATACTGATTTTAGTGTACTATATAGTATGAAAGTATGCGATTTCGGACACAGTCCCAGAAAGATTTGCGCCAAAACCAGAAAGCTGATTGGCTGTAGCATGTTGGTCTCCTTTGTAGCTATAATACAGCAAATTACATTTGGACTAGTGCAATAAAGAACTAAAGCACCTCGAAAACCATGCAACAACAACAAAAAAGAATTTAAATGAGCATTAGATGGTAGCGTTACATGGACATTGGAAAAATAAGACCTGTGTAAAAATATTTAAGACCTAGAACAGTAAATTTAGGACTTTTTAAGGCCTTTCGATTTTTTAATCTTAGACTTTTTTAGACCCCATGGAAGCCCTGTTGGAAGTAACCATCTACGACCATGAAGAGCTGTGCATATGAATGCAACAGTATCTATTTAATTCTACATTTTTGACTGTCGTAGTCAGTATGTAGTTCCAGTATCACTGTCAACTGTTGTGCTCTATTCTTATTTGAAACATTTTTTCACATTGGTCTTCACTCTTCATACATGTCTTTGTCATCTCTCTGTAAGGAAATTTCAGTAATCAGTTTTCTTTCCATCTAGACCAAGTGAAAGTCGAGGGAAGACAGATGATTGATGAAACTCCAGCCTTCTTGTGTGTCACTGTTTTCTTACATGTTTAAGAAAATCTCTGTAGACTCATTCACTACCAAACAGTATGTTATCCAGATATGTTGTGATATTTAGATGTCCTCTCAAATGACTGTTAATCTATATGCCAAAGTATTCTTCTCTGAGACTTGTTAAGGTTGTTTATAATCTCTGCAGCTATATATAGTCTCTATAACTTATACGAGCTCTTCTAGAGTCCAGTAAGCTGGTATGACTGTTCTCCAACCGATTTATAGTGCAATTACAGATTCTCTTGTGTATGTTAAAACACAACTGATTTTTATATATAAAATAAATGGAAAAATTATGAAAGTTGTTTTGTTTTTATTTGAACAATACTTTTATTCCTGTCTAACTGTGGATGATTCATTTTTGCCTTTTGGGATCTTTGTGGAAATGCACATTTATCTATATTTTGTAAATGAATGGATGGATAACAGAATTAACAACAGCAAAAACGAACCAAAACTCAAAATAGCTGTCAAACATGCACACAAAATGGCAAATAATAATATTGATAATTCAAAGGCAGTCCATTTGGGTCTTTCGAAGCCTCATAAACTTCTATTAACAGAATATACAAATGAGCCAAAATATTACGATCACCTGCTTCAGGGCTGAGACACAGTCAAACTACTAGCAGCAACCAAACCCAACTGTGTTGTTGCCTCATGTTGGATCGCATCTGGAGCAAAAAGCTGCCTGTGAACACACCAAACGGACGAATGTTGACTTGAAATGAGAACTCTGCAGGGGGCAGTAGTCTGTTTTCTTCTATTAATAGCATATACAAAACACGCCAAAATATTACGATCACCTGCCTAAGGGCTGGGACACAGCCAAACAACTAGCACCAAACAAACCCAACTGTGTTGTCGCCTCACATTGGATTACTTCTGGACCAAAAAGCTGCCCATGAACGGATCAAACGGACGAATGTAAACTGAAATGAGAGTGTATTTTTCCACTCCGCAGGGAGCAGTTATCTGTTTTCTTTTATTATTAGAATATACAAATAAGCCAAAACATTACGATCACCTGCCTAAGGACTGGGAAACACCAAACCAACGCCAAACAACTAGCACCAATCAAACCCAACTGCATTGTCGCCTCATGTTGGATCGCTTCTGGACCAAAAAGCTGCCCGTGAATGCACCAATTGGACGAATGTAAACTGAAACGAGAGCTTTGAAGCGAGAACATGTCTTTCCACTCAGCAGGGGGCAGTAGGCTGTCTTCTTGTTCTGCAAAGGGAAGCAGAACTTGATAGTGTAAACAAAGCAGCGTTTAGTACCATTATCACAGTAATTGTCACTCACCAAAGAAGGTTTTTTGCAAATACGTCTGATAATCTATATTGTTTGCAAATATTTGAGAAATGTCACAAAAACACAGCCAACGTCTTTGTGACCCCTTTTGGCTTGTATTGTTTACTTGCTACGTCTCTTTACTTCTATTAATAGAATATAAAAATGAGCCAAAACATTATGATCACCTGCCTAAGGGCTGGGACACAGCCAAACAACTACCGCCAACCAAACCTAACTGTGTTGTCACCTCACATTGGATCGCTTCTGGACCAAAAAGCTGCCTGTGAACACACCAAACGGACGAATGTAGACTGAAATGAGTGTCTTTCTACTCCGCAGGCAGCAGTAGTCTGTTTTTTTTTATTAATAGAATATACAAATAAGCCAAAACATTACGGTCACCTGCCTAAGGCAGGGACACACCAAATCAACGCCAAACAACTAGCACCAACCAAACCCAACTGCATTGTCGCCTCTCGTTGGATTGATTCTGGACCAAAAAGCTGCCCGTGAATGCACCAAATGGACGAATGTCGACTGAAACGAGAGCTTTGAAACGAGAACATGTCTTTCAACCCTGCAGGGGGCAGTAGGCTGTCTTCTTGTTCTGCAAAAGGAAGCGGAACTTGATAGTGTAAACCAGGGGTCACCGATCTCGGTCCTGGAGGGCCAGTGTCCCTGCAGAGTTTAGCTCCAACTTGCCTCAACACACCTGCCTGGGTGTTGCATGTATACCTTGTAAAACCTTGATTAGCTTGTTCAGGTGTGTTTGATTAGGGTGGGAGCTAAAATCTGCAGGACACCGGCCCTCCAGGAACAAGTTTGATGACCCCTGGTGTAAACAAAGCAGCGTTTAGTACCATTATCACAGTAATTGTCACTCAGCAAAGAAGGTTTTTTGCAAATACGTCTGATAATCTATATTGTTTGCAAATATTTGAGAAATGTCACAGCCAACATGACACGACACAGCCAACCTCTTTGTGACCAATATATGTAGTAATATACACTGTTAAACTTTTTGTTGTAAATTTACTGAATAATACTGGCAGCTGGGTTGTCAGCCACATACTGTGTTTTAACAGTCCACTCCTGTAGTTTACTTTCACAGTATATTACTGTTAAAATACATTTTTACACTGTGTTTTTACAGCTCAAACCTTTAACACTTTAAACCCCACAGCAAAATGCTCAGTTTTAAATAAACACTTCGAAGTGTCCACACTACTGAGTACTCAAGAAACAGTAAAACACAGCTGAAGATAATGGGTTATAAAATAGAGAAACATAAACTAAAGTCACCATCATGGAGAAAAGTGTCTGCTTTAGTTTGGCTCTTAGCCATTAACCTGTTAAAGGGCACATAGTTTACCCCTTTTTTATGACTTAATATTATGGCTCTTCTGAGTGTGCCAGTTTAGGTTCAGTTCAACACAGTTCAGATGTTTTTATTATAATGTGTTAAAAAGTGTCCTGTTGGGGGCGTTTACACAGTTTGCTGTTTTAGGGGCGTGTTGCTTCACAGTTTCAGCTTCCCGCCCAACGTAACAAGGGGGCGGAGCCAAGAGCTCCTACGCTCTGTGTTTGCAACAGACAGGCTGACAGAGAGAGAGCTAAGCTAAGCTGAGCTAGGATGAGCATTCAGCCGTACATGTATGAGTCGGTCACAGACCAAGCAGAGAGCACGAAATCATTTGTGTCTTTGAAACATAAAGTGTCCCGAATCGACACGCCACGCATTCCAGAACTCCAAACACAAGCCTTCACCAGGGCAAGCACAACGGCGCCGCGCCGAGCCGCTGACCCGAAGCTCCGCCGCGTGCACCACGACAGAAACCCACACCTTGCCGAGCCGCTGACCCGAAGCTCCGCCACATGCATTGTGACAGAAACCCACGCAGCGCCGAGCCACTGACCAGAAGCTCCGCTGCGTGCACCCCGACAGAAACCCACGCCCAGAACTCTGAAATGCACGCCACCACCCAAAAGGAACAAGCAATAAATCTGATTAGAGCGATAATGTGGAGAATATTGATCTTGTGTTGACTCCTATGAGCTTTTCATCAAAAAATAGAGCAAAGGTGTTCCTTTAGAGATATCGCTTTGACTCACACGCAGAAAATGGCGGACAATTAACAAAATGAACAAAACTCACAAACATCACAAAAACTGCTATGTTGGGCTGCCAGACAAACAGGATATGACAGATCATTAAGGACATTTCCTTTAGGATTAACTCCATAACTGGAATAAAAAATGTTGTCTTTTTTGATGTTCTTCTTCAGATATTTTTTATGCTGTGAATGTTTAGAATAAATATAACTATTTATATATTTATATATATATATATATATATATATATATATAAATTTTCTGTAATTACAAATAGGACTAAGTAGTTAAAACTGCAGGTTAATCCCTAATTTGGATCTCCATCTGTGAGTTCATGCTACTTAAAAGTGTTTTTCAAAGATTGTGAATCCCACTCATACTAACCACTAGAGGATGCTGTTTTGTGAAAACGTTGATAGACATATTCTGATATTCAACTGTTTGCTGTGGCATATTTGACAACAGAAACACTGTAAAAAGGGTAATTTTATTCCTGAGACATTTATTCATCTTAACACATTCCAGCATTCAAAATACAAATTCAAGCCATGAAAATGGCCACAATAAACCATTACCTTAAATAAATTAACAAGTTAAATAAACAATTGTACCATATATGGTTATATACAGTTCAAGTCAGAATTATTAACCCCCACTTTTATTTATTTTTTCTTTTTTAAATGTTTTCTAAATTATGATGAACAGAGCAAAGAAATTTTCAGAGTATGTCTGATAATATTTTTTCCTCTGGAGAAAGTCTTATTTGTTTTATTTCGGCTAGAATAAAAACTGGTTTTAATTTTTTAAAAACATTTTAAGGTAAAAATTATTAGCCCTTTTAAGCTATTTTTTTTTTTTCGATAGTCTACAGAACAAACCATCGTTATACAATAACTTGCCTAATTACCCTAACCTGCCTAGAACCTAATTAACCTAGTTAAGCCTTTAAGTGTCACTTTAAGCTGTATAGAAGTGTCTTGAAAAATATCTAGTCAAATATTATTTACTATCATCATGGCAAAGATAAAATAAACCAGTTATTAGAAATGAGTTTTTAAAACTATTATGATTAGGAATGTGTTGAGAAAATCTCTCCGTTAAACAGAAATTGGGGCTAATAATTCAGGGCGGCTAATAAATCTGATGTCGGCTAGAAATATTTAAATATACTTAAAGATAAAATAACACCATTTCCTCATATTTTGCTGTTAAAAATAATCTCTACCAAAAGTGTGTCCTATTTATCAAAACCCAACAGAGAGGATTGGGAAGTAAATGTGTAATCCCAGTACTGACGCAGCAGACTGAACTGTTAAAGAACAGCTGGAGATTGTGGTAAAGATTCAAGTATTTCACACAGTATTTATATGTACAGCACAAACTGAAGACGTTTATAAAGCAGGCAAAAAGATTTCAAAATACTTGAAAAAAATCAGCACAACACAAACTGAATACAGAACCAAAACACAGAAGAATAATCAGATAATCCACCACAAAAAAAAGTCTGATTATTCTTAAACCACCATTAACCGTCCATCTATGCACTATGAAATCAATCCAATTTTACTAAAAGACTATTTTAAAGGGGACCTACTATGCAAAAATCTCTTTTATTAGGGGTTTAAACACACTTGTATGCATCAGTGTGTGAATATAACCAACTTCTAATAGTAAAAATTTATTAATTTAATTTTTTATATTCACACTTGATAAAAACAGTCTGCAGAAACACTTTGATTGGCATTCTCCCTTTGTACGTGTCATCAGAGGGGGAAAGCCCCGCCCATTAGTGACAATCTCTCCCTCATTAGCACAGGATGTTAGTCTTGTTTCTACATCTGCCACTATGCTGACACATTGGCATGTGTAGCTCCGCCCTCTTTTGAAAAGAGCACAGTCTCATTTGAATTAAAAGCGACAGTCACCAAAATGACACAATTAGGATCAAAGCCTAAAAAGCAGCTGTCTTAAAGAGTTATAAAACATTATTTGTGTGGTATTTTAAGCTTAAACTTCACAAGCACACTCTAGGGACATCAGAGACTTATTTTACATCTTGCAAAAAGGGACAAAATAGGTCCACTTTAAGGGTGGAATCATACCAGTGTACTTCACAGTCTATCACAAAACATTGTGTAAAGAAAATTTTCAATTCATCAAATGTACATTATATAAATAACCTTATGCAATATCATAAAAAGACAAAACCACAATAAAACATTACCTTTTTTACACCTGGCATTAACATACATTTGTAAAGATCAATGATCAGCATTTACACCTACAGTAGTGTATTAACATCTATTCAGATGTGGCTCAGTTATTGAGAATAGTACCTGTTCGATCAACATTCTCAATCTAAAAACATTTCTATCACCACAAAATTCATTGTAGGCCATAAACCCCGCCCTATCTGTGTAAACCAATGAGATGTGAGCCAAACTAAAGCATCAAATTACAGTTTTTTGTCCCAAATAAACGATTTTTTATTATTATTATTATTTTAGTTCATTTTTAACATGCTGATTTACAGTTGAAGTCAGAATTATTCGCCCCCTTAGAATTTTTTTTCTTCTTTAAATATTTCCCAAATGATGTTTAACAGAGCAAGGAAATTTTCACAGTATGTCAGATAATATTTTTTTCTTCTGGAGAAAGTCTTGTTTGTTTTATTTCAGCTATAATAAAAGCAGTTAAAAAATAAAAAAAAAACATTTTAAGGTCAAAATTATTAGCCCCTTTAAGCTATATTTTTTCCGATAGTCTACAGAACAAACCATCATTAAAATGCCTAAATACCCTAACCTGCCTAGTTGACCTAATTAACCTAGTTAAGCCTTAAAATTTCACTTTAAGCTGTATAGAAGCGTCTTGAAAAATATCTAGTCAAATATTACTTACTGTCATCATGGCGAAGAAAATAAATCAGTTATTAGAAATTAGACATTAAAACTTTTATGTTTAGAAACGTGTTGAGGAAATCTTCTCTCCGTTAAACAGAAATTGGGGAAAAATAAACAGGGGAGCTAATAATTATGACTTCAAATGTATGTGCAAATTCTAAAATTTGTAAATTAAAAGTAAAATCGGGTTAATTTTCCTTTTTTTTAGTGTTTTTTTTAAGTATATATATATATATATATATATATATATATATATATATATATATATACGCTGTTGTTACACAATATGCTTGATAGTAATGGTCAAAATTGTGAGAGTTTATTATGGGCTTTATGATATAACAATGCAAGTATAACATCTAACAGCAACGCCACAGACGACAGTTTGAATGCTTGCTTTTTTGTTTTATTTATTTCTTTACTTTTTTTTTATACTTAATTTTTGTTGGTTTTTTAGGAACAAGTGAAAACCAAACAAACAAAATATATACACACACATACAGTTGAAGTCAGAATTATTAGCCCCCTTTTAATTTTTTTTTCTTTTTTAAATATTTTCCAAATGATGTTTAACAGAACAAGGACATTTTCACAGTATGTCTGATAATATTTTTTCCTTCTGGAGAAAGTCTTATTTGTTTTATTTCGGCTAGAATAAAAGCAGTTTTTAATTTTTTAAACACCATTTTAAGGACAAATTTATTAGCCTCTTTGAGCTATATTTTTCCGATAGTTTACAGAACAAACCATCGTTATACAATAACTTGCCTAATTACCCTAACCTGCCTAGTTAACCTAATTTACCTAGTTAAGCCTTTAAATCTATCTTTAAGCTGTATAAAAGTGTCTTGAAAATTATCTAGTCAAATATTATTTACTGTCATCATGACAAAGATAAAATAAATCAGTTAATAAAGATGAGTTAGTAAATCTATTATGTTTAGAAAAGTGTTAAAAATATATTCTCGTTGTTAAACAGAAATTGGGGAAAACATAAAAAAGGGGGCTAATAATTCTGACTTCGACTGTAAATACATTGTTATCGTGCCACACATAAATATACAAATCTAAAACTGGTGTTAAAAAAGAACACAAAGTATGTTATACGCAAATTATGTAAACCCTCTACAGCTGCCGAATGCTGTCTTGGGTGTTTCTGTACGACAAACAAACCTGCCTTGTGCGTTTGCAGCCTAAATATGAAATCATTTGTATGTTAAATATGATATGTAGCAAACATTTATAAAAATATTATAATAAAACTTTAGTCGATGTTACCTTGTTCTATTTATATTCAATTAGCACAGATGCATTTATGCAGCCAAAAGTAAACTGAGCTGTTTTTACAAACCAGACAGCTTTCGGATCAGAGAAAATGCATGAGGTGCCTATGTGCAAACAGACCCCTGCACACGCACAGGTTGTTGGAAAGTGTTTGAACAGCCACAAAAGACCACATAATCCACATTTCCTGAACTAAATTTTAACAATTATGTTAAGTTGATGCAAATTAGCCAGACAGGGTTTAAACGGCCATCTAAAATCGTAAGTTTTCCATTTAAGAAGTCAGGAAATTCGATGGGTATGTTATGTAAAGGTCAGCATTTTTCTCTCTCTTTTACTTGTGATCTGATCAAAACACATCCTAATACCAGGTGTAAACAAGGTCATGTAAATTATGCTGGTTAAACAATATCAATCAGCAATATTTATATCTTAAAAAGACCTCAGTGTTTTTAACAGTCTTAAATCAGCATTATAAAGCTAGCATAGTGTTGTTTGAATTCAGTGCTACTTTCTTAGATATCATTTATCTGTCAACACATAAATATCTGTCCTCTTTCATTACCTTAAATAGCACGCTCTGATTTTCCCAATTATTAACAGTGCTTACAGGTGTGAGCTATAAACGGGCGAGGATTGTTACATGGTGGTTTCACTGTTGCGGTGTTTGAGAGAGTCGTTCTCCTGACAGATCAGCTGGTACGGCTTCTCATTTTCCTCGATCACAGAGTTGCTGATTTCTACGTCTTGGTTCTGAAGTTCCTGCCGCGACAGATGCTCAACAATTCCGGCGCCAAACGAATCTCCCAGCACGTTGGTGGTGGTCCTGAGTCGATCCCTGAAGAACCACATGAAAATATGTACGTCAAACCCCGTTTACACATTACTAACACCTCAGAAACACCACAATGCTGGAGCGTGGCAGATGATTTCTGAGGTGTAGCTTAAAGGGTCACGAAACACCAAAACACATTTTTTGAGCTGTTGACAGTCAAATATGTGTCCCACGCTGCTAAAAACACTATGAGGACACATATATTTCACAAAAAAGTGAAAATTGGTTGTTTTTGCGTTATTTTGAGCAAATTCATTCTTCCTGTTTGAGACAAATTTTTGAAGCTGCGTCACGCCGATAAGATACTTGTGTGTATTCCAGCGTGTAGACTAGATGTCTGTACTTGGCTTCCTTCGTGACGTCTCTGAGTGTGCTGCATTCATTCATAAGAAAGACTTGGTTCAAACCAATCAGCACGCTCTATTGTGTATGTGCTGCAACTTCATTAATATGCATAATAGCTTCGAAGACTGTTTACCTGTACAGTGTTCAGACAGCAGAGAGACGCCACATTGTGTTGCCAAAAGAAGTGGAAGAAAAAAATAGTAAAGTTTGGAGACACGGGTCGTCATTGTTGTGTTTATTAATGTGCTGCAATAAAGGTCTTGTTTTCATTTTAGCGCTATGAGAGCGCAGCTGGACTCATGTGTGGACTACAGTGCATGTGACGCGTGACAGAAATACGTGTCTAGGCAAAATTTTTTACCTGAGAACTTTTCGCATCTGGAAATGGTGAAATCCGGATTTGCTACTCGTCTCCTTTTAAAAAAGACGGGGCTCCAGTTAATGTTGATTGTCCTGTCTTTACAGATTTTGTCTGAACACTGTACAGGTAAAAACTGTCAACAGATCAAAAAATGTGTTTTGGTGTTCCGTGACCCTTTAAATGTTGAAAGTGGAGTGTTTTTATCATGTTACTACAGAGTTGCTATGGTGTTTTCAAGGTGCCAAGTGTTGAAAATTGGCTAGATGCCTACCCTTACATCACCACCTTGTACATGTTTACTTCTGCTCTACACTTCCTCTGTTCAGATGCTCACATATTGCATAAAAAGACATTTTTAAACTTTGCTTCGATAAAATTAATGTTTTTCAAATTAAAGACAGAGATATATCAGAAATGACGGAGAACCCCTGTGTGGTATTTCATTGATATATAGAGATGACGGTGACACAGTGGCACAGTAGGTAGTGCTGTCACCTCACAGCAAGAAAGTCGCTGGTTCGAGGGTCAGTTGGCATTTTTGTGTGGAGTTTGCATGTTCTCCCATTGCTTGCGTGGGTTTCCTCCGGGTGCTCCGGTTTCCCCCAAAGTCCAAAGATATGTGGTAAAGGTGAATTGGGTAGGCTAAATTGTCCATAGTGTGTGTGAATGAGTGTGTATGGATGTTTCCCAGAGATGGGTTGCAGCTGGAAGGGCATCCGCTGCATAAAACATGTGCTGGATAAGTTGGCGGCTTATTCTGCTGTGGCGATCCTGGATTAATAAAGGGACTAAGCCGAAAACAAAATGAATGAATGAATGTAGAGATGACCTTTTAGAGATTTTATTTAGATTCTGCAGCTTAATCTTATTAAAAATATTGGTAACACTTTATTTTGATGGGGTTAAACAGAACTTTTCTAATTAGCTAAAATAAGTTATCATTATAAGTATGCTTATAAGCATATATAGCACATTACTTCATAAACTCATACAGCAGTTGGCCATTTTGAGGATGTCGCTTTTAGTAAACAAAATGAGTTCACTTGAGTATTGTGTATATCAATGTAGTCCACGTATTGTTACAGCAACCATGCTGGCAACTGCAGCTACCGGTATTTTACCGTTAATTTACAGAGCCACAGCAAGATGCTGTTAATTTAACAGTAACTTGCTGGCAACCATGCTGCCAGTAACTTACCGTTTTTTAACAGGACAATTTTTAACAGTGAGGTTCAGTCTTAGTTCATTAACTGAAGAGATTTATTCAGTGTTTTAAAGTCATTGTTCAGTATTATAGGGCCACAATATGAAAGCAGGATGTTTGAACGCTGCTAACACTCCTTCAGATTAGCAATCTGCATTATGTATCAATAACCTTTGAGAGAGTGCTCTCTACTGCTTCAACGTGACATTTGAGAGAGACTCACAGGAACCAGTCCACAGCGATGATCAGGGTAATGTCCTCTGTGGGAAGTCCCACCGATGTCAATACTATCACCATAGTAACCAGCCCAGCCTGAGGGATGCCTGCTGCTCCGATGCTAGCGGCGGTTGCTGTAATACTGCAGGAAACATGAGGGCTTTTTCATTTTTATGCGAAATAAATTACAGAATACAGTTGAAGTCAGAATTATTGGCCCTCCTGTACATTTCTGTCTAACTAAAGGAAGATTTTTTCAGCACATTTCTAAACTCAATAGTTTTAATAACTCATTTCGAATAACTGATTTCTTTGTCGTGATGACAAATTTTACTACAACCCCCATATCAGAAAAAGTTTTGACCGTATGGGAAATGCTAATAAAAATAAAAGGGATTTCTAAATTTACTTTGACTTGTATTTCATTGCAGACAATACAACAGACCAATATTTATGGGTTATTTTATTCAAAATAAACATGTATTCAGGTGTTACAGGTGTAATTTTGTCTCATTCTTCCTGCAAAAAAGTCCTAAGGTGGACAACACCTTTGTTGTTGCATTTTGCGCTTCAAAATGCACAACACATTCTCTTTTGGGCACAGGTCAGGACTGCAGACAGGCCAGTCAAGTACCTGTATCTTCTTCCTCAGCAAACAGAAAATTTACAGGAGGACTAATAATTAAAATGCTCCACACATTCTCTATTGGACACAGGTCAGGACTGCAGACAGGCCAGTCAAGTACCTGTATCTTCTTCCTCTGCAAACAGAAAATTTACAGGAGGACTAATAATTCAAATGCGCCACACATTCTCTATTGGACACAGATCGTGACTGCATACAGGTCGGTTAAGTACTTGTATCCTCTTTCTCTGCAAACAGAATATTTACAGGAGGACTTATAATTCAAATGCGCCACACATTCTCTATTGGACACAGGTCAGGACTGCAGACAGGCCGGTTAAGTACCTATATCCTCTTCTTCCACAGACAGAAAATAAACAGAAGGGCTAATGATTAAAATGTGCCACACATTCTCTATTGAGCACAGGTCAGGACTGCAGACAGGCTGGTTAAGTACCTATATCTTCTTCCTCCGCAGACAGAAAATTCACAGAAGGGCTAATAATTAAATTGCTCCACACATTCTCTTTTGGGCACAGGTCAGGACTGCAAACAGGCCAGTCATGTACCTGTATCCTCTTCCTCTGCAAACAGAAAATTTACAGGAGGGCTAATAATTAAATTGCTCCAAATATTCTTTATTGGACACAGGTCAGGACTGCAGACAGGCCGGTTAAGTACCTGTATCTTCTTCCTCCGCAGACAGAAAATTCACAGAATGGCTAATAATTAAATTGCTCCACACATTCTCTATTGGACACAGGTCAGGACTGCAGGAAGGCCAGTCAAGTACCTGTATCTTCTTCCTCCGCAGACATAATATTTACAGGAGGGCTAATAAATAAAATGGGCCACACATTCTCTACTGGACACATTTCTGGACTGCAGAAAGGCCAGTCAGGTACCTGTCTCCTCTTCCTCCGCAGACAAAAAATTCACAGGAGGGCTAATAATTGTGACTTCAACTGTACATTGTTTGCAATTTATGAGAATCTGTGTTTGCAAAAATGATGAAAAACAATGCTGCAGTGTAGTAGCTACTAAACTAACCTGATGGTGAGGATCTGGCCAAAGTTCAGATCCATGTCGTTGACCTGAGCGATGAAGATGGCTGCCACTGCTTCGTATAAAGCTGTGCCATCCATGTTGATTGTGGCTCCGACCGGAAGCACAAAACGTGTCACTCTTTTGTCCACGTGGTTGTTTTCTTCGAGACAACGAAAAGTAATGGGCAGGGTGGCAGAGCTGAGGAAGACATGTAAAATACTAATACCACAGTATCGTACTGTTTGAACAAAAGGTGAACGACCAATAAATAAATGTTTTTCAAAGACTGCAGTAATGCATTGAGAAGGGTCTGGCTGCAGAGTTGAACTTGCATCTTCAGGCTTGCATTCTCGGGCTTGCACGCTCAGGCAGCCACGCTTCCTATGCAAGTGACGTCATTTATAATCGACACCTGCACCTGTCACGTCACTTGAAATTATTGGATAATAGGAACCATTTTTTATTATTTTTGTCTCTTTTTCTTTTAATCAAACAATTATTTGTATTGGTCATGTAAGGGTCATATATTAACTGAACTTCTAATGTTGTGGGTGAGTGCTGTGCATACTAATTAGCATTTTTGCAGAAGTAGATAGATGCGGGTCCAAAATTTAATTCAGCTCTGCAGAAACTTCCTGTCTGAAGAGAGGTGTTGAAACTGAACACAGAACACAGAAAGATGTATACTTTGTTGTTGGGCAGAGAATTCGTAGAAAAAGAGGAAGTATGTCGAAGGTGCGGCCAATGGAGGACTGAACAATGACTGACAAGTAACGTTACACCAAAACTCCACCTGTTAAGATCAGTTGTGTATATATGCTGAAGTCAGGAAATGTATGTTAGTTGCGAACCTCTTGAATGTAATTCTTGTATTGCATTGGGGTAACGTAACCCAGAGCTCTGTCATCGAATTATTCATTTGTATCCAATAAATTGTTACGATTTTTGACATTGAAGAAAAACCTCTCCAGACCTTTTCTCTTGAACACGCATGGAATTGGCTTGATATTCCAACAAAATCAACACAAATAAACCAAAAGTAAGTTTCCAGTTCGTTTGCGTTGCCAGTGACGACGTTGTCAAATAATTTCTAAGTAGCCTACTTACGTTGTACAACATGCAGCGCAGCTTCAACAGTCTCTACATGATCCCAGCCCAGTGTTATAGGCCCTCCAAACATAATATAGAGATCGACTCGATAAGGGAACGTCTCGACTCGCTTACCGGAAAGAAAACAGCACAGATGATGTGTAACATTACTGCAGAGCTGTTGTAAGGGAAGCATGCGTTATTCGTTACGATCTGTTTACGTATCTATTGCAGCTGTGGTGCCCGTTGCCGTATGTTGCCAGAAACCACAGTGAAGCCCTTAGAAAAAAAAGGCACTTGAGTAAGGGTGACAGATAAGAAGTTTATTGCAACGATCTCAATGAAATCCATTGCCTCAGGGATTTTTCCGCCTCGGGGAAACCCTTAAGTTGAATTACCAAAGGACTTTCATGCAAGCGGACACAGGTGGCGATTGTAAATGACGTCACTTGCAGAGGAAGCACGGTTGCCTGAGCCTGCAAGTCCGAGCGTGCAAGCCAGGAGGTGCAAGTGCAAATCTGCAGCCAGACTCTATTGAATGCATTTGTTCATTTAATTTTCAATATCATAATTTTAAGAACACATGAAATCGAAACTACCATATTGATTTTGTTCGCTTACATTGCTAACTTTGCGGTGAACAATTCATCTGTGCATGTGATTTAAGATAACAAAATAGTTTGCCCTTTTAGTCTAAAATCCTGTTTGTTTTCAATGAAATTCTCAGATTACGTCTGAGGTACTACAACCATTCATTCATTCATTTTCTTGTCGGCTTAATCCCTTTATTAATCCGGGGTCGCCACAGCGGAATGAACCGCCAACTTATCCAGCAGGTTTTTTAACGCAGCGGATGCCCTTCCAGCCGCAACCCATCTCTGGGAAAGTACTACAACCAATCACTGGGAAACATCCTTACACACTTATTTACACACATACACTACGGACAATTTTAGTTTACCCAATTCACCTATAACACATGTTTGGACTTGTGGGGGAAACCGGAGCCAGCGGAGGAAACCCACGTGAGCACAGGGAGAACATGCAAACTCCAAACAGAAACACCAACTGACCCAGCCGAGGCTCGAATCAGTGACCTTCTTGCTGTGAGGTGACAGCACTACCCACTGCACCACCGCATTGCCCATTATTTATTTTTAAATATCTGCTGAAAAATCCAGCTTAAACCAACCTAGACTGGTTTAACCTGTTCTTTTTCAGTAGGGTTATTAAATAAATTACCCACGACAACTTTAATTTAATATAGTTTGGTATATTTATCTTCGGATATTTTGTTTTGCCCTTCATACAAAAAAGTTTGGGCACCTCTGATCTCACCAAACTAACAAAAAATGAGACTTTCCCCAGAGGAAAAAAAATTATGGGAAATTCTGTGAAAATCTTGGTCTATAAACCATAACCTGGGAAATACTTAATACCTGGAAACAAAATAAAAAACCTGTCTATCAAATAGATGGATCATCTGCAACAGTGCTCAAGCAATTTACAACATCAGATTGCTCTGTATTGTTTCTCTGGGATTTGTAAATTATATTAATAAATTTGTACCTTGATGAAGTGCCCAAAGCAGTGATGAGAGCCTGCAGCAGCCCGGCAATGAAGGTGAACGGGTTCTTCTTGGTCACCACGAAGAAGAGCAGAGGCAGAACCAACAGGCCGTGGATGAGCAGCCCCACAATCACAGACACCGTGTACATCCCTAACTGTCCTCCAACCTGAGCCAGATCCTTCATCTCCACTATCTTCCCCGCTATCAGGAAGAGGATTCCCACTGGAGCGTACCTGCGCAACAGACACAGCATTTTACAGTAATAAATTTGATATGTTTCGAAGTTAAATTATTCATGATTTTTTTTCTACTTCAATCAATAGCAAATGTATGGAAATCTGTTTCTGACATCTGCAAATCCTAATAAAGAGTGGTCATAAAAATCATTAAAGGTTGAAATTTATTATGCTGATATCTATTGATATGATTTCTATTATACCGCTTTTTTAAAGATGTAAATAAGTCTCTGATGCCCCTATAGAGTGTGTATGTGTAGTTTTAACTCTAAATATCCCATAAATAATGTTTTATAGCTCTTTGAAACTGACCCTTGTAGGTTGTGATCCAAATTGTGCTGTTTCGATGACTGTCGCTTTAAATTCAAATGAGATTGTGCTCTTTTCAAAAGAGGGCGGAGCTACAAACACCTAAGCATTAGCATAGTGGCAGATTATATATATATATATATATATATATATATATATATATATATATATATATATATATATATATATATATATATATATATATATATATATAAAATATTAGAGGTGTGAACCTATACTGGTCTCACGGTTCGGTTCGGTTAAGATTATCATGCCATCGATTCGGTTCAATTCAAAATCACGGTGCATTGACGATGCTTCCCATACACAGTGCTGTATTTTGGGGGGAGGCTATAACAAGCTGTCTGTATAAATACACACACACACACGCACACACACATAGACACACAGCCCCACACTGTCTTTAATTCACACACATACACAAACACAGACAGCACCAAACAAACACACACACACTCACACACACGTGCGCGCTTGCGCGCTCGGGAGCGATATTGTGAGACCGCCCACTCCTGTTAAAATTACACCAGAGTTACCGACCGCTCCCGCGATTTATTCGGAAATTCCTGCACCACATGAAATCTGGTCAGTTCTCGCGACAATGCACAGGTACAGCCGCGGGAATGCAGACCTATATCCAGAAGTATTGTTGTAACAGCCGAGAGGAAAAGAGAGGGGAGGAAAAGTCACGGCAGCAGCCGAGATGAAAAGTCACGCCAGCAAGTGAAATGGGCCACAGTAAGAGAGAGAGAGAGAGAATCAGAGTTCACTTTCATTCCCTCAATCGTAGAGAAATAGGGGCTTCTGTTGTAAGTGTCAGGGAAAAAAACACACATGCAGTGAAATTGTGCACAGTTTCTGAGTTGGCTGCTGGAGTGTTGTAAACACCCGCGCTCACCTCCCTTGCGGTAGTGAGCATATGAGATAAATGGCGTCAGTACATACTAACCGGTTATGATTATTACTGAACCGATACCGAATTGTCCGCGTCTGCATCGCGGTGCACAGCAGAAACGATTAATTTTGACACCCCTAATATATATATATATACACACACACACACACACACACACACATATTTACATTTATTTTTTTATCAAATGATATTTAAGTTTTGCCACATTTTACAACCTAAAGTAAACTTACCTTGCACAAAAAGGTCTGATCATATAAAAAATAAATAAATAAAAGAAGAGAATCAAGTGTCATGTCACTGTAAAAATAACTGCCTGATTGCCTATATAACATCCTAATCAGACACTAACCAAATTATGATGGCCACCAAGCGCATAATAGCTTCATTCAGGCAGTCGAAGAAGTCCCGGAGAGCCTGGCCCTGCTGTTTCATGTTTCCGATCACTAATCCAAAGCACATGGAGAAAACCACCAAGCCCAAGGCGTTCACCCCATTGGAGGAGCCAGAGACTGGGACAGCCTCCTCCACCGTCTCCTGGATGGTCTGCAAGACTGGGCTGAAGTTGGACACTTGGCTGAGATCAGTAGAGTTGACGTTCTCTGTCGCATTGACCACGATGGTGACATTTTTTGTCAGCACGGTTTTCTTGTATAGTGTTTTGTACTGCAAAAATGAAATGGGATGATTAGTGATATATTTGATCTATGAAAGCTTTTTGGAATAAAATTAAAGGTTGTGTTCAGAATTTAGAGCTTTGATTTCATTAAAACAAATGATTGCTCTGTTAGTGCAGTTTATTTGAATAAGTATGAATGGACACTTAGAACTGGATTGTGGCTAGAAGGGTATCTGCTGCGTAAAACATATGCCGGAATAGTTGGCAGTTCATTCCGCTGTGGCAACCTCTGATAAATTAGAGACTAAGCCAAATGGAAAAGGAATAAATAAACGAATGGACACTGACATTTGAACACTTATGTGAAACAAACAAGCACTGAAAAGGTGAACTTTTGAGCCATAAATCTCAGCACTTACAGTACACAATACACTGTCAAAAAATCTAACAGTTTCCATACGAAGTGCATGCTGTTTATTTACGATTGCCAATTGCATTATGAGATGTTGATCTCTGCTTTGTCGACTTTTGATGTTGAAAATTAACTACAGTTTAAGAAAGTGACTTTTTTCACATTTAAGTAGTTTGAAATAATATAAATGTATAATAAATAAGTAAATAAGTCTGTAAAATAATAGAAAATGTTCTGGCAGTTTATTACATGGTTTTGGCACCATAATATTTAACACCAACCCAGACAATATATCACTTTAAACTATTAAAAGTGTTCATAAAAGTTCCATTTTAGAACTTTTCAAGATTAAAAGTTCCCATAATGCAATTCAAAAGCATAAATAAACAGGGGAAAAAATACAAATAAAACATGAATTACAAAGTATGGAAAACTGCTAATTGGATATATTTTACAGTTTAGATCAGGGGTCACCAATCCTGGTGCTGGAGGGCTGGTGTCCCTGCAGGGTTTAGCTCCAACTTGCCTCAACACACCTGCCTGGATGTTTCAAGTATACCTAGTAAGACCTTGATTAGCTTGTTCAGGTGTGATTGATCAGGGTTGGAGCTAAAATCTGCAGGACACCGGCCCTCCAGGAACAAGTTTGGTGACCACTGGTTTAGATCATACTTTAAAGCTATATTCATATCTGTATTCTGAAGGATTTTACATAGCGATATCTTCATAGATCATTTCATTGATTTTATACAGCAATTTATTCTATAAAAACTAAATATGCTTTGAAAAAAAATCTGTTTGCAGTATTTCCCATATTCTTCCTTGTAAAAACGTAGATTTTAAAGGGACAGCAAAACATTCTGTTATAATTTATTCAAGCATTACTTGTTTCAAACCTTTATGAGTTTCTTTCTTCTGTTGAACACAAAAGAAGATATTTTGAAGAATGCTTGAAACCTGTAACCATTGACCGCCCTATTATTTGTTTTTCCTATTATGAAAGTTAATGGTTACAGGTGTCCAGCATTCTTCAACATATATTCTGTTGTGTTCCGCAGAAAAAAAGTAAAGTGGGTGATTAAACAGTGAGTAAATTTTCATTTTTGGGTGAACTATATCTTTAATGTTGATGAATATATCCTGATTTCATTCAGTTTCCTGTTTTTGTGCTCGAAATTATTGCATGTTTAATTTAATAGAGATCTCATTTGAATATTCTGATTTGCTTAATATGCATATTGCAAACATTTGCTATTCTTTAAGGTAATCAAATTTATCATTAGATAATTCGTACACTATTCACCCTGCAGTGTCTTGCTGTAACTGAAATATGAGCACAATGTGAACCAAACACATCTAAACAAACCAAAAACAGCACATTATTCAGATGTTGCTTCCTAGATAGTTATGAACTCACAATTCGAAGTCTGTATCTCCATCCTATCACAAACTCACAAAAAAATATTGTACAGAGTATATTCAGTGAGTATGATTTTATCTAGCATTTATGTTGATCCTGTAATGGCATTTTTATTCGAAAGTGTAATCCAGACCTAATCCCTAACCCATACTTAACTGTAAATTATACCCAAAATCAATGAGGAATAATAGTTGGATATAATCCTGAAGAAGCACATAACCCTAACGTAACCTAAGCCTAAGCTTAAATTAAACGTATCCTTTAATTCTGATTTGCTGATTAGAATGTTGTTACAGGACCAACATAGATGTACTGACACATGCATTAGAAAGATGTTTGCATTCAAAGATGTACAAACCTGTTTAAAGCAGGCTTCAACTAAATTTGGTGGAAACATATTTCTGTACGAAAAGAGGAAAATCAGATCTGGTAATTTTTTTTTTTAAATAAACAAAGACTGCAATAGTCAAGTGAAACTTTCTCCCCACCTTATAAGGTCCAGGAAGGCATCTGCGGCCTGCACTGGTTCAATGCTGCCACTAGAGGCCACTGGACTATCTCTGCTGCCTTTACCCGGTTTGATGATGATCACCATCACAATGCCGATGAAAACTGCAATTAATGTGGTCACCATGTAGTAAACGATGGCCCGAATTCCCATCTTCCCAGAGGCCTTGCTGTCTAAAGATGAGATTCCTACAACAGCAACAAAAACATGCAGCACCAAAATATCTCTAGATGAGAATGTACTAGTGCTGGTCTAATACTTAAAATATCTTTAAAAGTTGATTTATTTCACTAATTCCATTCAAGACATGAAACTTGTATAATATATATACATTCATTCCACACATACTGATATATTTCAAGTGTTTATTTCCTTTCATTTTAATAAGTCTGATGACAACTAATGAAAAACCCAAATTCATTCATTCATTTTCTTGTCGGACAATTTAGTCTACCCAATTCATCTGGGCTGCATGTCTTTGGACTGTGGGGGAAACTGGAGCACGCGGAGGAAACCCACATGAAGGCAGGGAGAACATGCAAACTCCACACAGAAACACCAACTGAGCTGAGATTCGAACCAGCGACCCAGTGATCTTCTTGCTGTGAGGCGACAGCACTACCTACTGCCTCGCCAACTCAAATTCAGTATCTCAGAAAATTAGATTATGAAAAGGTTCAGTATTAAAGACACCTGGGGCCTCATGTATCAACGCTGCGTACGCACAAAAACTTTGCGTACGCCAGGTTTCACGCTCAGAATCGCTCACGTTTGGATTTACTAACAATGAACTGAACGTGGGAATGTGCGCAGCTTCACGGCAGCTTTCTGGCAGGCGTACGCACATTTTTTGTGCGTGTCTGTTTTATTTCCATTGGCGACTCCTAGAGGCAGTTGTGTTAAATTCCTCTCTACAAAGTGTCTGAGCCTTGCAATGGCAGCTGTATGAGACGGGTTCATCTAGCAGGTATATAAGGTTTTCATACCATACATTTGACCAGCTAAACATTAAAGCACAATTTGCAGCAGTCGCCTGTTTTCCCAATGTAATCTGAGCAATCTACATTGCTATAAAGACACTATCTGAAGATGAATTTGCATGCGTGAATCAGAAACATTTCCATTCAATAAATGTGCAAATAAAATATGATGCTTATTGATATGAACTTATTGATGATTCCTACTTGTCTTTCTTGTGATAAATAGTGGGCAAAATCTGATATGTAGCGGGGGAAAAAACAAGAAAGAGTTCATTAGACGCTGGATTCGAGCCGCGTTCATGCTCGAACGTGTCAATTCATGATCACAAGCGTCTTATGAGCGCGCCACTGAGACTGTTAGGCGTCCTTCAACACTTTACAGGTATAAACCACACTATTTCTTGTTTAAATGCACTCAGTGCGATGTTCAGACCCAACTGTGTTGACCGCATCAGCTAAACTCTCCCACTCTATTTTTTTTTCTTTTGTTGTTAATTCCGGAGAACAAACTTGCAAATAACACCGCTTTTCGCCGGTCTACCTCCGAAAGCAGCACCTCCAATTCACATTCTGTTCAAAGTTTCTCTTTTTGCTTGCTTTTTTCATTGCTTTTTTGTTGGGTTTTGCCATTAGCATAGTCATTAGCATATTCATACGGGGGAGGAGGCAGGGAGGGGTTTTGTGCTCGTGCATGTTGCACTCAGTTTCACGTTCATTCGGATGTACAAAAGAATATGCGTGAGATTCGGCGTACGCAGTGTTTCATACATCTGAATTTTTTTCTGCGTACGCACATTTACAGCTTTGTGCGTACGCAATGTTTTAGTAAGATTTCCACGCAAGTCTTCGTACATGAGGCCCCTGGGCTGCGTCCGAAACTGCCTATGGTACTGCATTTGAATTAATTAAAGAACTATGTTTGTAACGATCAGGCCCGGATTGGCCAATCGGGAGGACCGGGAGAGTTCCCGGTGGGCCGGTCCGTTTTTTGGCCACGAGGGTTGGTGTTTCTAGCTGCTTGCACTCTCAGCAGTCGCACTTTTTTTCATTTATTTATTTCTTTGACCATAGCCTCACTCTTTTTATTCATTATTTTGCCGCAGCTCCGCTCTTCTTATTCATTGTCTCGCAGCCCCATGAGCAAAATGCAGCCTGCAGGGTAATGATGATGTAAGTATCATACCGGCCACTCAAGCATAACAGTGCTATTGTGGTCCAGTGGTCACCACATTGCATTACAATGTCGTCGATCGGTGTTCTATCCTCACCTGAGTAAATTATTTATTTATTTATTTTTTCATTTTTATTGTTAAGACATATAAAACTGTAAGGTTGTTGTACATTTGAAGCTCTAAAGCAGCTGTTTTCTTGAAAAAGACGTGACAGTGTAATTAGTAACTGAATTGGAAATGACCTTATTTTAATATACTGTAGTCAGTCGTGAACTGAGGTGGGCCGGTCTAAAGCTTAAAACTCCAGGGCTGAAAAGGAGTCCCACTCCGGCCCTGGTATCGATGGAACTTGCGACCTTAGTTGGCTAATGATGGTTTTCGAAAACACACCCCTGTTTTGCTGATCTAGAAACATTTGGTATTATTTGAACTTTAATAACAGTTATTGAGCTGTTTAATATTTGGTTGGAAAACTTATTTTCTAAACAGACAATTCAAATAAATACACTGTAAAAACTAGTAAGTTAATGCCGAGTTCAGACTGCATGATTTTCAAAGTAGTCGTGTCACAGATGTTTTCACACTGCATGACTATCTGGGCTTGCGTTTCGTTGCTGCTTTGTTTACACTGCAAGATGGATCGGCGACAGGGACTTTCTCATTGCATGACTTTACTATAGGAAGAATCGCCGACAACTTCGTCCAAACTACGTCTCACAGCCAAAAACACGTAGTATATCTTTTGTTATTAACTACATAATGAGAAAGAAGCCTTTAATGGGGTAGAAAATGTCCATATTTGCTCACCTGGGTTTAAAGGGAATTAGCCATTTCTCCTCAACGTTGATAATAAACTAATTTCTTTCTGTATGAAACGTCAAACAGACACGGTTGCTCCTGAGTCCTGTCAAACCTCCACTAGTTTTTCCTTCATTTCGTGGGTCCAAATAAACCGAAAAAGAGCGCTTTTAACTTCTCCCTCAGCCTCCCGCTGGCCTGCAGCAGGTATACACACACGCACACACAAGTGAATGCCGCTCTCTCATTGGCTGTAGGCGATCGCTGATGTTATTTTCAGTCAAAACTCAATTCACACGGCATGATATTTATATTAGCTCCAGATATTCAGCACGCCAAATATCTCACAGGCATCGGCGACTCATCAGCGATTCTCTCAGATCGCGTCTTTGATAGTTCATACTGTGTGATTGTCACTCACGTACACGAGCAGCGATTTGCCTGTGATTTCAGGCATTTGTCTGCGATTTCTCCAAACCTGTCGGCGAGCCAAAATCAGGGCTAAAATCCCACAGTCTGAACTAGGCATAAGGAAACTCAAGCCATTTGAAGAAACTGACTGCCTTAACACTAGACCTACAGAGAAAGTCATTTTGATAGCCAAGATAGTCACTCCAATAGAGAGTGATGTGTTTGTTGGTGTACCTGTGACAAGGCTGGAGACGATCAGCGGAAGAACAAGCATCTGAAGCATCCTCATCAGCAGCTCTCCAGGGAAAGAGAAGTACTTCACCTGCCTGATGGACAGATTATGAGGTCTCAGGGCAAACCCCAGTGCCACCCCTACACATAGTCAATCAGACAGAAGTTAGTAAAACTATTTTGAACATGACAGTTCCCTTCTGAACCGTACAGGAAACAACACACGCTGATTTACTGCTTTACCCAAAGCCACAGCAGCCACGGTGAAGATCACAAATGCGTTCCTCCGCAGGAACGTCTTGACGCTGTTTCGTGTGATGCCGCCCATCTTTCTCCTGCTTCCAGACATCTGTTTCTGTAACACTCGGCACAGGCGGTGGAGGCCTTCGTCAGCGCGCTGCGGCTTCTCAGAGTCTTCGCTCAGAAACAGACTAGTGCTGTTTGGAGGCTTCTCGTTCATAATCAGCTCTAACACATGGTCCAAGAGGGTTTCGTGGGAAACTGGAAGAAACAATTGGGATCGAAAAAAAAACATTATAAATATTATAATTATAAAACATTATGAATTAGAAATATTTTCAAGGTTAAAAATTATTTTGTTGATATTTTCCATGACCTAAAGTTGTGATGAAATTAAAATGTGCTCTTCATACTTTTACAAGAAAATGCAGAGTTCCAACACAACCTTCAATGTACAGGACAGTAGAGATTATTGACAGGAAAGCACGGGGAGCAGAGAGAGGGAAAGGATAGGCATAGGGCCGCGGGGCGGGAATCAAACTCGCCGTGAGCACCGGTGTGCATGTGTCAAAGCAGTAACCACTACACCGCTGGCGCCGGCACATAAGGATTTTGAACAACACACAACCGACCCCCCCTTCTAATGATAAGTACAATATAATGAAGTACAGAACTTATCCTTTTATATATACAGAGTCCTCCACCAATACTGGTGGCTGGCACTGTTGTTGAATATGAGCAAAGAAGAAAAATGGAATGAAAAATGGTTTTATTGTTTGAGATTTTGATCTTTTGCTCAAAAAAATAATAAAAAACTGAAGATGCCCAAGTTTCCTTTCGAACGAGAGCAGCAGCCTTTTTTCAGTATATAGGTGATGTTGTTGGATTGTAGTTTTTGAGACTTTCTGACACCAAGACCACTGTCCTCTTGATTCTTTCAATATATATATATGTTTTTTGGTTAGTTGAACCATCCTGCTAATAGTGTGTCTAAAGACACCTAAAAAAAAAAAAAAAAGACACCTACTGTATCCTATTTTGGACTGATACACAACTCTTCCTATGGGCATTTTCAGTGTTTTTGATATTTTCCTACAACCAATTTCCATCCTGAGAACCTCATCAATGTCACAAATCACAGTTATGTGGTTTAAACTTTAGTCTTGAAAATGTGCACTTTTTATTTTTATTTTTTGTCTTGAAACTGTGCATTTATTTATTTATTTATTTGTCTTAAAAATGTGCATTTTATTTTTATTTTTGTCTTGAATATGTGAAGTTTTTTCTTTTTTAGTCTTGAAAATGTGCATTTTTTCTTTATTTAGTCTTGAAAATGTGCAGTTTTTCTTTTTTAGCCTTGAAAATGTGCACTTTTTTATTTTTTGTCTTGAAAATGTGCACTTTTTCTTTTTTTTTGTCTTGAAAATGTGCACTTTTTCTTTTTTTATTCTTGAAAATGTGCATTTTTTCTATTTTTGTCTTGAAAATGTGCATTTTTTATTTTTTCTTTTGTCTTGAAAATGTGCACTTTTTCTTTTTTTAGTCTTGAAAATGTGCATTTTTTATTTTTTTAGTCTGGAAAATGTGCATTTTTTTCTTTTTTTTTAGCCTTGAAAATGTGCATTTTTTATTTTATTTTTTTGTCTTGAAAATGTGCACTTTTTCTTTTTTTAGTCTTAAAAATGTGCATTTTTATATTTTTTTAGTCTGGAAAATGTGCACTTTTTTGTCTTGAAAATGTGCATTTTAAAAAAAATTAGTCTTGAAAATGTGCATTTTTAAAAAAAAAACATTTGTCTTGAAAATGTGCATTTAAAAAAATTAGTCTTGAAAATGTGCATTTTTTTTCTTTTTTTAGTCTTGAAAATGTGCATTTTTTATTTTTATTTTTTGTCTTGAAAATGTGCATTTAAAAAAATTAGTCTTGAAAATGTGCATTTTTTTTCTTTTTTTGTCTTGAAAATGTGCACTTTTTTATTTATTTTTTTGTCTTGGAAATGTGCACTTTTTCTTTTTTTTAGTCTTGAAAATGTGCATTTTTTTTCTTTTTTGTCTTAGAAAAGTGCACTTTTTATGTTTTTAGTTTTGAAAAGTTTACTTTTATTTTTTTAGTCTCGAAAATGTGCATTTTTTTTCTTTTTTTGTCTTGAAAATGTGCACTTTTTTATTTATTTTTTTGTCTTGGAAATGTGCACTTTTTCTTTTTTTTAGTCTTGAAAATGTGCATTTTTTTTCTTTTTTGTCTTAGAAAAGTGCACTTTTTATGTTTTTAGTTTTGAAAAGTTTACTTTTATTTTTTTAGTCTCGAAAATGTGCATTTTTTTTCTTTATTTTTTCAGCAAAAGATCAAAAGATTAAACACTATTGACATTTTTCACAGCGTTCTTTCCTCACATTTACCAAAGGTGCATGTTAGTGCAGGATACTGTATCATTTGCTTTATTTAAGAATACAAAACTGCTCCTGTAGGGGGCATGAATGACCTGTCTTCATACACCATCACTGAGCTACACTTTCTACCAGCCCTTCAGAACATATCCTGAATTACTTACATTATTAATGGTTTCCAAGTTGTTAATTAATCAATAAACCTTAACAGTCATGCAAATCAGCATCAAACCTCATCACCTCTTCTTGCCGTGAAGCACCCAGCTCTTTATTGATGAGATGCTGACACCATATAGACAAGAAGCTACCATGATGTCTTGCTCTAATTAATCATGGAAACTGTAAACACTAAATAAATGGCATATTGTGGTGCCTATCCCAAACACAACAAAACAAATAACATGTGATTGCCAGATAAGCAGTCTCCACTAATACGGTCATGATGTATTCTGTTTTTAGATGCACACCAACTGAAGGTGTGTTAGCGCAGGGTTAATCAGGAAAACTCGAGCACACGTGGGTTTGAGTTGGACTAATGGCATCAACTGAATAATATTAGTTAATAAATGAATACAAAACACAAACTAATTTACTAATGAGGGTCTTAGATCAACCAATTTAAGTGATACTGACAATTTCTGCTTCTTTATTTTTATATTTCCACCAGTAATATGTAAAAATTGTATCAATACTCCGTCATGCCCTTAGTAATAATAGTGTAGTTTTGATACCAAAGGTTGTCTATATATCACAATGTGACTGTCAGTCAAACTAATATGACATTTTGTTCATCATTTTGTTGTGACTTTACATATTTGAATTACATATTTGAAACTGCAACACTGCACTACCTGACAAAAGTCTTGTCACCGATCCCAGTTGTAAAAGCAACAAATAAAACTTGACTTCTAGTTGGAAAAGTGGCAGAGGTGGATTTTCAGATGGATCATCTGTTGAGCTGCATCCCAATCATCACATATACTGCAGAAGGCCTATAGGAACCCGCATGGACCCAAGATTCTCCCAGAAATCAGTCAAGTTTGGTGAAGGAAAAATCATGGTTTGGTGTTACATTCAGTATGGGGACGTGTGTGAGATCTGCACAGTGGATGGCAACATCAACAGCCTGAGGTATCAAGATTTGTGCTGCCCATTACATTACAAACCACAGAAGAAGGCAGGATAGCGCTCCTCGTACTTCAGCCTCCACATCAAAGTTCCTGAAAGCAAAGAAGGTCAAGGTGCTCTAGGATTGGCCAGCCCAGTGACCAGAGATGAACATTATTGAGCATGTCTAGGGTAATATGGAGGAGTAGGCATAGAAGATTTATCCAAAGAATCTTGATGAACTCTGGGAGTCCTGCAAGAATGCTTTCTTTGCCATTCCAGATGACTTTATTAATAAGTTATCTGAGTCATTGCAGAGATGTATGGATGCAGTCCTTCAAGCTCATGGGAGTCATACACAATATTAACTCTATTTCAACTGCAGCATGACTTTATATTCTATACTGTACACTATTTCTGTTCAAAGTCAGACCTTACTGTCCTAATTAAATAATAAAAATAATGGCATGATCATATTTTATTTTGGTAAAATAAGCGTAATTTAGAGGCCTTTGCCTTTCATATAAGCCACTTTTGATACCAATTGATCAGCTAGAAGTCAAGTTAATATTTGTTGCTCCTAAAACAAGACTTTTGTCATGTAGTGTATATCTCACAATGTGACTATATCTCAGAATTATGACTTTTCCGCATAATTGCAAACATTTTTTTCCATGCAACTTTACATTTTCCAGTTCCAACTTAAAAAATGCCACATTACACCTCATAATGTGAATTTACAAGACACATTTATAACAATATATTAAAAGAAATATGTAACTGGCGCATGCACATCTTTAAATTACAAACATATGTGGTGATTATGACATTTTAGTTAACATTTGTGACATTTTGCAATTGAACGTTTTGCAGAATTTTCATATTTCAAAATGTGACCATATTGCAACTGTTATTCCTCATCTGTATGTCCATTTTAGTGAAATACATCATTGAACATTTATGATACCAAATATTCCTTAAAGAGAATGGATATTACCTTACAAAACTACAACATAACACCAATAATGCTATTTTCTGAGCTTTTTCTTTAAAAAAATAATAATAACCCTGCTGAAAAATCCAGCTTAAACCTGCCTAGGCTGGTTGGCTGGTTTTAGCTGGTCGACCAGGCTGGTTTTAGAGGGGTTTTGGCCACTTCCAGGCTGGTTTCCAGCCATTTCCAGCCTGGTCTTAGCTGGTCAGGCTGGGAGATGACCAGCTAAAACCAGCTTGACCAGCCTAGCCAAGCTGGGAGTCCAGCCAAAACCAGCTATATCCAGCTTAAACCAGGCTGGTCAAGCTGGTTTTAGCTGGATTTGGCTGGTCATTTTCCAGCCTGACCAGCTAAGACTAGGCTGGAAATGGCTAGAAACCAGCCTGGAAATGGCCAAAACATCTCTAAAACCAGCCTGGTCAACCAGCTAAAACCAGCCAACCAGCCTAGGCTGGTTTAAGCTGGTTTTTCAGCAAGGAAATCGAAAGATTTTGAAACAATGTGACAATATTTCAGAAGTATGGATTCTGCATAATTGCAACATTATTTCCGCATGTAACTTTATATTTTCCAGTTCCTGGCAAGTTTTCTACTTCAGAAATGCAACATTACACCTCATCATGTGAATTTACAAGACCCATTTATAACCTTATGTTAACAGAAATATGTAATTGAACTTTAATGAGAATATCATATGAAGAGTTCAGATGCAAAAACCTCTAAGTGACGTCTGACATTTCCGTCAAAAATGAACCTTTTTTTAGCCTCCTTTGATTATGTTGAGATATTTTACTTTTAAGTAAATGGACTTATTCTTTGTCATAAAATTGATAATACTGAACATACACACGGGAGACTGATAAAAATACTAATTTTAGAGGAAAATTTCATATGGCATTTAGAGGTTTTTGCATCTCTTGCAACTCTTCATATGTTCCATACAGTTGTAGAGAATGGATACTACCATACAAAACTACAACATAACACCAATAATGCTATTTTCTGAGCTTTTTCTTAAAAAACAAATAATAATAATAATAATAATAAATCGAAAGATTTTGCTCATGTTCCCCTATGTAATTGTACATTTTCCAGTTCTTGGAAAGCTTTTCACTTCAAAAATTCAACATTATACCACGTTTATAACTTTATATTATCAGAAATATGTAATTGACATATGCACATCTTTCAGTTATGACTAGGCCCACACGGAATATGCGCGCGCAGATTTTCCGCAGAATTCCGCAGATTTCTGCAGATTTTTTGCCCATTATTAATTCTGTTTATTTACTTGAGTAAATGTGTAAATCTGAATTTATTTAGTTTTTATTCAGTAATTTATTACATTTTATTTAATATATTACGGTTTTAGTTATGATACTCCGCTAGATACTCCCAAAATAATTCAGCAGAAATCCGCAGATTTTTACCAAAATTCTCCTCAGAAATAGCAAGAAACGTCCGCAGATTCCGTCTGGCCCTGGTTATGACTATATCTGGCAATTATGACTTTTCAGCTATTCATTTTTATACAACAATGTGACATTATTACTTTGCAATTGAATTTTTTGTATAATTACCATTTCTCAAAAAGTGCAACTTTATTCCTTATTTGTGTGCCAATTTACACATTATTTAACATTTATAAAAAAAACTATTTTCCATGAAGTTGTAAAGAATTACAAAACAGCACCATAAAAGTGATAAAATTAGTTGCCAAGCTCAATGTTCTTAATCCTAATCAACATATAATGAACATAAATCAATAAATCAAAAACAAGTAAAAAAGAGTTTCCATTTTGGGGTGCATTTATCCTTTAAATCCTCAGTTCACCAGTTGACAATAAGTCAAAATACTAACTGTGTGATATCAAACAATAAAAAACACACCAAATACACCTTGAAGAACAATATTAAGTAAACAATTCCATCTAACCATTTCTAGAGAATAAACCTTGATACAGTATGAGTTTCACTCACCACTCATGGTTGCTCTGCTCTGGACTGAAGTGGCCACAGGTAAAATGCCCAACACAGATGAAACAGTTTATTATATGGCCTGACCTTCTCCCACCCTCCATACAACCACATACTGGGTGACACTAGAAGTACGCCGCAGACCTTCTGGTCTGATCTAGGGCCAGTTTTTTTCTCCACTGATCCTTACCACATGGTTGGATGACTGATCTTAAATCAGCATAAATACTTACACCAACAAACACCCCAGGTGAGCACTACAAAGCCTACTGGCACCACAATCTTGCCCCCATCCTTTCCACTTTGCAATAGTGAAGTATCTGAACCAGAACATCACACACTCAGGAGCAAACAGTGTTTATTGTGCACACACAGATTGTTATATCTATATAATCTCATAATGAACGATCCAATTGTTGATTATAGGTTTTTAGACATGGAATTTAGACACTTTCATGCAAATTAGACTAGTTTATAACCAATTTATAATTTATGCAAGAAAGAAAGAAAGAAAGAAAGAAAGAAAGAAAGAAAGAAAGAAAGAAAGAAAGAAAGAAAGAAAGACTACAATTTAATCCCTCATTCAAAAAGCTTGCCAAAAAAATGCTTTTTTTAATTAAAGTACACTTTACATACTAAAACAAAGGCATCTTACCATTTCGCAGCAGCTCTTCTTGTGTCTGTTCTCGTGCGCGTGCTGGTGAAGCTGAAGACCCCGCGATGCTCCGCGTTCACCACAGTTTGAAGAAATCGCGGAGAAAAGTGATGTTTGCGTGGGAGAGAGGAGGTCACGGGTTTTTTTTCTGAGAGGAAAAAGCAACGGCCACCTGCCCAATAGCGTGAAGAATCAACGCGTTAATGAAGTCTCATCGGGGGGAGGCGTTTATGCTGTGCGTAGGCTAACCTTACTACTGTATGCAACCACAACATCCGCTCGGCGATTATAGTAATGCATTCATGAAGGATACGGTACACAGTGTTCAGTATGAGTGAACCTTTGTCATTCAGAAGAATATAAAGAAGAAGGATAATGTATACTTTAATCGTAACTTTAAGTATACTGTACTGTAGTATTTGAAGTGAATCAAAATCTTTACTCAAAATTGTCCTGAAACAGCATCCATTCTTGTGTTAGAAGAATTGAGGAAAACTTTTTGATCCACTTCTCTGGACTTCTCTATCAACCTAGATGTGTTTTGCCAAATATTAACAAGACCAATTGTTTAAATGAGAATCTTTGAAACTGTTACGAAATGTTTTAAACAGATAATATACAGTTAAAGTCAGAATTATTAGCCCCCCTTTAATTTGTTTTTTTTTTATATTTCCCAAATGATGTTTAACAGAGCAAGGAAATTTTCACAGTATGTCTGATAATATGTTTTCTTCTGGAGAAAGTCTTAAATGTTTTATTACAGTTATAAATTTATTTAAACACTGTTTAAAGGACAAAATTATTAGCCCCTTTAAGCTAATTTTTTTGATAGTCTACAGAACAAACCATCGTTATACAATAACTTGCCTAATTACCCTAACCTGCCTAGTCAACCTAACTGACCTAGTTACCCTTTAAATGTAATTTAAGCTGTATAGAAGTGTCTTAAAAAATATCTAGAAAAATATTATTTACTGTCATCATGGCTAAAATAAATCAGCTATTAGAAATGAGTTATTAAAATTGTTATGTTTAGAAATGTGTTGGAAAAAATTCCGTAACACAGAAATTGGGGAAAAGAATAAACAGGAGGGTGAATAATTCTGACTTCAACTGTACATCATTATATAGGGGGGGTAGCCATTTTATTTAAATCAAAATTGAATCATCTTGATTGTTTGTCTTGTTATTGTAATTATGTTTTTTAATGTCAGTTATACATCTCCATGTAGTTTTCTGGCTAAACAGAACAAGACAAATTTGTTGCTGTCCTAATTTTAAGTTGAATCAAGTTGAAATTGCAAGTCACTTCAACTTACATAAATTAAACAGGCTTAAAACATCAAGATCACTTCGCATAACTTATAAAATAAAGTTGAAAGCTAAAGCATATGTTCATTCTTTTATTCATTCTCCTTCGGCTTAGTCCCTTTATTCATCAATGGTTGCCACAGAAGAATGAACCGCCAACATATCGTGCATATGTGTTACGCAGCGGATGCCCTTCTAGCTGCAACCCAGTACTGGGAAACACATTTAATCAGTGACCTTGCTGTGAGGTGACAGACGCTACCGTGTCACCCAAAAGCATATGTTGTGAAGTGTTTTTTAACATGTAAGTTTTACAGTGTATTTAAGTAGGTTATTCTATATATTGTACATGTGAGTCTCCATAAAACATATTTTTAAAATCGAAAATATATTTGAATTTCCACCTTCATACACAGTGGCGGTCAAGAAGAGGTTTCCCAGTGTGTGCAGAGGAATAGTCCAGCACATCTTCAGTCCTGGAGCGCCCTTGTCCTGCAGAGTTTAGCTCCTACTCTTATTAATCACATGTGCTTGTAGCTTTGTAGAGATCTTGAGGACACTTATTAGATTGTTTAGATGTGTAACTGCAGTGTGTAGATGCCATTATTGATTAGTTTAAACATCACAACAGAGATGCAATCCATTTAAATTGTCTTCCTTATTCCTTAAATTTGTAAGACATTTATATTTATCTAGGTAGAGTTTTTGTCATAAGCTGTGGTTATTATTAGACCCGGGTTATTGTCTGCCAAATTAAATTTTATTTAAAGCTGTAGTTCTGCTACTGTGTAGTGGTATAAGCACGAGACAAATATTCAGTATATCTCATTACCATGACAACATGATTGCTCGCACTTGTTGAGGTCCAGCAATTGGATCATTCTCTCTCTCTCTCTCTGTGTGTGTGACCTTCTGCTCCAATCTTCCCACTCACCACCTACACAGTGTATTAGGTCTGTTGTAGTGTATCAACTGTTCTCGCTCTTTTTCATTCCCAGTGGACCTCTAAGAAACCTGAAATTTTCATCTAGCATATACATTAATAGCTTAGCTTTCAGTTTTGGCCTAAATTATTAGAACACTTGGCATACTTAAGAGTTTTTAGTATTTTTTTTTTTATAAATTGGCCATTACAATACCCATGAAACGAATTAAATACCTATTAAATCATCATCAAATATATATACACTATATATATATATATATATATATATATATATATATATATATATATATATATATATATATATATATATATATATATATATATATATATACATACACTATACATGTATATATATACACTAGATAGTGCCGCCAGTTAAAACAGCACTGCCATATTTGTACAGTGCTCCCAGGACAAAAGTCATTCAACTGTGACTTCAGCGCTGTGTAAGGGTGTAGTAAGGAGCAAACAAAGAAAAAGCATAGGCAGAAAATTACATAGGTTAGATTTTGTTTACTACGTTTTTGTATGTTATGAACTTCTTGAAAGAAAGATCATAGTCCAATTAAGGCCGTTTAAAAACAAACAGGGAAAAATAAAAACACGAATCACAAAATACAGAAAACTGTAAATGTATGGATATTTTTTACAGTGTAGACATCAATATCACCTTTTTGGAAAGGACATTATATAGTGTAATACTGCAGGGTAAAGTTTACATACTGTCCACCCTATACACAACCTCTTAACTTTTCTGATTTTGAGTGTTATGTAATAACAAGCTGTTTTGGAACGATGATTATTGTGCTTTACAAATCAAATTGAACTAAATTAACTCAAGCATGCAATTTAGCCTAGGTCTTATTCTTAAGCCTGTTTACTGTTTTGGCAAGTACTTTGATACATTAAGAAAATACAGTGTGGGGGTGGGGGGTGTTCTAGAAAAAAAAAATGTTCTAAAGGAGCCGTTGACGTGGAATTGAACCAGATTTTGCTAAAAACCCAAACAATACAAACATAAAAATAAAACTAAACCAAAAAAAAAGTGTAATAACAATGGAATGACACAAGGAGAAAGTACTGAAGTACATTTAATACTTATATCTGGAGAATATATGCAGGATGAAGTCATGCGTTGCTCAGGTGTGACTTTAACACAGTGTACAAATCTTGATGACTCTTTGGGTCTCGCCTATCAAATCTGATCTTTAATTTGTACTCCATTTCTTCATGTGTTCAATACTTTTTCCAGTGTCATTTCAATTTATAACGCATAACTTTATTTGTAATCTAATTAATATTGTTTTTGTCAACAGTACGATTAAAAGTATGTTTTTTAAGTAAAATGGTGATGTGTTGAACACTTATTTCCCCCACTGTACATGCAAGCATATTAAATAATGTAAATGCTCTGAGCTTTGTGTTCTTTTAACTTAAACATAGATGATATTGTTATAAAAGTGCAGCCTTATTAAATAAATAAGGCAAAATTGTGTTGCTTTCATGGAGAATGTTGGACTGAGTTGTATAACATCCTTTCATGAAAGGTGCATGTTTGATCCTTTTGGCGAATAAAGACTAAAAACATGGCTTTAACATAAAACAGCGCATTTCTCATTTGTGAAAAGTGACAGCAGCAGATTGCATTGCTATGGTAACACAATGGGTCTGCTAGAGTGTGGGTGGTATGTAGCATACATGTTCTACATTTAGCTAATGTAATTACACATTCAGTGCTAAGAAACAGTGCTGAAAGGCATTACCACTAAATGATTTGAGCACGGTTATTATGATATGATAAAATGAATATTAGAAAGTACTAACCAAGTAGTGACAAATTATTATGTCATTGCATATAGTTAGGAGTCTAATGTATATTTCTGAAGTCAATAGTGAAATCAGACTCCGAAAACAGAAACAATTGAAACACTAAAAGAAGTTTCAGTTGTTAACTAGGCAATGTAATAAATACTGTATAACAAATGAATGCTCACTGAGATAAAGTACATCCAGGATCACAGAATAAATCCCAACATAAGCCTGAAGGACTTTATTCTTTGATCTTCCTGGATCTACTGAAATTTGAAGAAGATCTAAATTGACTGTTTCCACTGATCTTGAGATGTTTCAGCAGAGTAACTGGAGTTAACCTGTGGTCAATTTAGTTGATTGGACATGATTTAATTAAGGCATACACCTGTCTATATAAGGTCCCAGGGTTGACTGCATGTCAAAGCACAAACCAAGCATGAAGACAAAGGAATTGTCTGTAGACCTCAGAGACAAGATTGTCTCAATGCATAAGGCTGGGGAAGATTACAGAAAAAAATTCTGCTGCTCTGAAAGTTCCAATGAGCACAGCAGCCTCCATCATCCATAAGTGGAAGATGTTTGAAACCACCAGGACCCTACCTAGAGCTGGTGTGGTGAGTGATCGGGGGAGAAGGGCCTTAGTCAGAGAGGTGATCAATAAGCCGATGGTCACTCTGTCTGAGCTCCAGTGTTCTTCTGTGGAGAGAGGATAACCTTTCAGAAGGACAATTGGCAATCCACCAATCAGGCCTATATAGTAGAGTGGCCAGACGGAAGACACTCCCTGCCTGGAATTTTCCAAAAGGCATCTGAAGGACTCTGAAGACTGTAAGAAACTAAATTCTCTGGTCTGATGAGACTAAAATTGAACTCTTTGGAGTGAATGCCAGGCGTTACGTTAGGAGAAAACCAGGCACCACTCATCACCAGGCTAATACCATACCTGTGGGGATGTTCTTTAGCAGCAGGATCTGGAAGACTAATCAGGAATAGGGGAAAGATGAATGCAGCAATGTACAAAGACATCCTGAATGAAAACCTGCTTCTGAGTGCTCTTGACCCCAGACTACGTCGACGATTCATCTTCCAGCAGGACAATGACCCAAAGCACACTGCCAAAATAACAATAAAGTGGCTTCACAACAAAGTAAATGTCCTTGAGTGGCCCAGGCAGAGCCCAGACCTAAATCTTATTGAGCATCTATGGAGAACAATTCCTTCGTCTTCATGCTTGGTTTGTGCTTTGACATGCAGAGTCAACCCTGGGACCTTATATAGACAGGTGTATGCCTTTTCAAATCATGTCCAATCAACTGAATTGACTACAGGTGAACTCTATGGCTGTACACAGTCGCTTCCCATCCACCCTGGTAGAGCTTGAGAGGTACTGCAAAGAGGAATGGGCAAACAATTCCCAAAGACAGGTGTGCCAAGCTTGTGGCATCATATTCAAAAAGACTTGAGGCTGTAATTGCTGCCAGAGGTGCATCAACAAAGTATTGAGCAAAGGCTGTGAAAACTTATGTGCATGTGATTTTTCAGGTTTTTTTAGTTTTAATAAATTTGCAGCAATTTCAAAAACTCTTTTTTTTCACATTGTCATTATGGGGTATTGTGTGTTGAATGTTGAGGAAATCAATGAATTTAATCTATTCTGGAATAAGGCTGTGACTAATTATTTTTTGAAAAACTGAAGCGCTCTATGAATACTATCCACATGCACTGTATTTAGGGGCATTAGGTGCAGTTTGGGATCCATCCTTTTTCTTTTAGACCAAAGCACCCAAAACAGCCACTCATATTTAACTGTGTAAAGGGTTGAACCACCACAGTATGCACCATAACACATACTAAGCGAATGTTTTCATAGGAATGCACTAATTGCAGAGACGCATGGTTTGTTTCCAAAACAAAACCCAATTTTATTTTTGTACCCCTACCCCTTCCTCTTGGCCCTTACAACCGAGGGTTAAGAGGAAGGGCTTCAAAATGTACCCCTAAGAATTGGAAGAGCACTACAGCACCTGCCCACGTCATCATATGTCCTCGCGATCATTTGCTTCATTTGAGATCAGACGATGGCGACTGCTGTAGTTATTCCAGTTGTGCTATTTATTGGTATTTATCTTCAGGAAATAACTGAAGGCATATATTATGTTATCATAACGATATAATGTGACAATAAGATCGTAGCTGAACTGTGCATTTACACCCCTGCTGAAAAATCCAGCTTTAACCAGCCTAGGCTGGTTGGCTGGTTTTAGCTGGTTGACCAGGCTGGTTTTAGAGGGGTTTTGGCCATTTCCAGGCTGGTTTCCAGCCATTTCCAGCTTGGTCTTAGCTGGTCAGGCTGGAAAATGACCAGCCAAATCCAGCTAAAACCAGCTTAACCAGCCTGGTTTAAGCTGGATATAGCTGGTTTTGGCTGGACTCCCAGCTTGGCTAGGCTGGTCAAGCTGGTTTTAGCTGGTCATCTCCCAGCCTGACCAGCTAAGACCAGGCTGGAAATGGCTGGAAACCAGCCTGAAAGTGGCCAAAACCCCTCTAAAACCAGCCTGGTCGACCAGCTAAAACCAGCCAACCACCCTAGGCTGGTTTAAGCTGGATTTTTCAGCAGGGACAGTGGCCATATTCATCTGTAAACACACCAAAACAACATTAACATTAAAAAGCCCATTCTCAGCTACTAGACTTTTCTGACAGGGTATTCGAGTGTCAGAATGTTGTGGGACTGCTGTACAGGAGTTATTATTAGGGATTATTGATCGCGAAATTTAGCAATCCTTTTTTTGTGTTTTTTTTTTTTTTTAAAGCCTGACGGTAAAACACGAACGCGGTTATGAATACATATGTTTGTTTGTCGTAAAAATTCATAATAATGACAAAAAATATTAATTTGTGGATCTCCTTACTTCCAGGTTTAGCAATAATGCCGTTGTGGCTGGTGTATTCTGGGAAATTTTCTTACCCCTTGGTTTGGAGTGTGGTCCTGAAAAATCTTCATTCAAAGAGCTATTCACTCTTAGCCCTACGCCTTCAAGCTAAAGAATATTGGGACACCCCTACCCCTTGATTGGGCCTTAATGTGAGCCACCATTGTACATTTACCTGTATGTATGAGGGCGTAGTCTCACATGTAAATTCTACTCTGAAACATATACTGGCTCATTAATAGCATAACATTATATTGGACGACAGAAATATAACCCAATTTTTACAGCTATATCTGGTTGTATGCTCACCTTTGCCTTCAAACATTAAAGAGATAAAAGTAGTCTGAAGCACAAAACTGCCTGGATAAACAGCAAAAGGTCAGGAAATAGATTTGTTGCTCTGAAATGTCATCATCTTCGAGCTTAACATGAAGAACATTTGGACAGAAGTCATTCAGGAACTCAAAGCTGAACCAGAAAACACTCAATGTAGTTCATTCCTGTCTGCATTACAATCAAAAAAACAATAAGCTTGTGCTAGAATATTCCTTTATTCGATGTGAAAATATATCCGCATACAATCAAACGCCAAAAAATCAGTTATCAAAAACATTATCAATAGGAAATATGACAGAAGCCTATGTAATACAAAATTGCAGTGTTCTCACTTGTGCCCAATCTAGATGAAGGCAATAGTGTTAATTAATTACAAAAACAGTTGTCAAAGTTACAAAAACCGAAGAAAAGTAAAGTAGTTAGTGGTCATTAAAGTACAGACGTATTCTGCCTGTTATAACACAATGATAATAAGCAGGCTTTAAGAGAAGTAAAGGTGTATATGTTAATGAAGCAAAGAGAAATGAGGTGAACACAATTCACTGTAGCCCTTGAAACCAATGAATGAAATGATATGGAGTACATGATACATCCAGGAGTATATGCAGTACAGACAGTGTAGTCGTTTGGTATAAAGGTATAAAGTATTCATACATTGAAATTAGTATAACACATTGCAAATGCATCCATCAGTCTTTACAATGTACTCTGTGACTGATCATTCGCGCAAATACTTGTATAATAAAAGTTAAGTACATCAAATTGATACGAAACATTTTTCTGATTGACTGAAAGTCCTTGATAGTCCATATGAAGTGTTCTTGGCTTCGCTCTTTGGCTGAGGGAGGCTGTTTTTTTTATTAGTTCCAACATGCTTTGAACATGTGATTAACCAATAAGGACATTCAATTAGCTCAAATGAGTTTGTTTGGGATTTGCATTAGCGTTGCATCATGGACTGTCTGACTACTTCCTCTAGGGATTTTCTAGAGATAAGCAGCCTGACCACATCTTCTTTCTTCTTGGTGAGCCTTTTTCGTGCCTGATCATGCGTCACCATGGTCATGTCCCAGCCATTCACCTGGAATTAATATGGATTTGATTTAAAAACAAAAAAAAAGTTAGACAAAGATACAAGACTGTTTACTAAACGTTAATAAGGGAAAGAACTCCAATCTCACGAAGCACTTTAAGGGTGCATTGCGGCTAGCACTTTTGGTGCGCACACGGGTTCGTTTGATGTCAGAATACGGTTCGTTTAGCCAGTGTGAACGTTGCCTTCTGAACTCAGGTGCGCACTTGTGAACAGTCCCAGAGTCCGAGAGGTGGTCTGGGGTACGGTTCGTTCAAACTCTGATACGGTTTACTTCTAATATGAATGTAATCGTACCAAATAACGGAAAGAAACCCCGAATGCAATCATCCCAAATAACGGAAGTGAACCCCCAACTGTACAACAAATTGTAGTTTTCATAACGTTAATTCGTGTGTGTGTGTGTGTGTGTGTGTGTGTGTGTGTGTGTAGCTGTGTATCACCTACCTTGACAACAAGAGGGACTGACCCACAAACAGTGATAATGTCTGCTCGATAACATCGCGTGTTCTGAACATTTTGAATATTTTTTCCAAGAGTTCACACACTTAGCTGATGATTGATTTTGAAGCTTGTTTGGCATGCTGTCCCTGGAGAGACCCATGAGCTTATAAGATCCTCGAGCCCGGGGCTCCCTCCCGTTTGCAGGGCAAGAGGGGAGTTTGAGCTAAGGTAGATCTGAAGAACTCCCCTGCTGTAGTAGCTAATGAACAAATAGAGATTGCTCTAAAGAGATAACTACTTACTAGGAGCATGTTGGTGCCGATTCAATTAACTTAAGTTGTTTATGTCTTTGGACGGTGGGAGGAAACTGGGGAACCCGGGGGAAACCCACGTGAGCATGGAGAAAATGTGTAAACTCCGCACAGAAATGTCGGCTGGCTTGGTAAGGACTAGAACCAGTGACGTTCTTGCTGTGAGGCAACGGTGCTAACCACTGAGCCACCGTGCCACCCATCTAGGAAAGGGGGAGGAGTAGAGGTGGAAGGAGGGATTCTTCAAAACGAAGATGGCTGTTATATGGAACTTAGGGTATTTATAGTGGCTTAGGAATCGTTTGATTGGTAAATCATGAATTGAATAATGCAGGACCAGCTGCAAGCAGTCATAAGCATGTGATCCTCTTAAAATTAGTTTATAAACTTCACTTTGTGAGACACAGACGCAAGTGGCTATCTGTATTTTGGTTTTGATAACAAAACCAAAAGATTCAATAAAAGCAGAACCATGATATGCGGACATCTACATTTTAGAGCTGTGCTTTAAGTGGCTGTCACCTAGCAACAGCTGTACAAAAAAAAAAAAAAAAACAGCACAACAGCAGCTTGATGACGCAAGAGTACCGGCGTTCAGAAGGAAACACAACCAACTGAAGGGGGACTATCTAATTTGGGTTCGAACCAGGCATTCGAACCAAGTGTGAAAGTACTCTAAAAGACACAACCAATGAAAAAACACTTAAAGATGCAGTATGTAAGTTTGACACCCAGTGGTTGAACAGGGTATTAAATTCCTGGATAAAACTATACGCAACGCAAGTTGCAAGGTTGAGAACCAACAGCTTGACTATCGAGCCTAAACGGTGATTTAAAGCTGATTAAAATCGTTTTCTAAATAAAAGCAATGGAGTTTGAAAGCCATTTGACCTTTCCTCAATTCTGGTCAAATGGAATGCCTTTTAGCAGAGGCAATCAGGGCATGTCTTATTTATTTTGTTAGCTACGCCCATCTTCCAATTATCCAATCAGTTCCCAGGAACATAATCATCATGCATCACCCCCATTTTTATCCAATAATTATTTCAATTGGATGTAGGTCACTATATTGGAAAAAAGGGCCATCTTAACTTTCATTTAATGCAGACCTTTAGAGACACAAAAATGGCACCCTAAACTAAACCTAAGCATTCTCCCTCAAAGTCCGAATTTTTGTGATGTGATGCCACTTACTATCAGGATGTGATTTTGAGAGAGCTAAATGGATGATTGAGACATTCTACTATCTTGTGGACTTAACAGATAAGAGCACAGCCATTGTTAGTTTGCAGGACCACAAATATGCATTTAGAACAGGGCCAAAATTACGTCACAGCGCCCCCTGATGGAGATTAATAAAATCAACACTGAGCATTCTGATATTATAAAGCCAGTTGCACAAATCCAATTAAGTTTTTTTTTACCCAGGTCAGTTTGTATTTAGTTTGAGAAAACTATGAGTTTGGATTGGTTTTGAACAGGCTTTATTCTGGGTTGGAGATTATGAAACAAATATGGACTAATCTGCTGTAAGTAAAGGGACTCCCAGTCCCTGTGTGGCTTTTTTGATCCAAATTAAAATCTTTTAAAAAATAGTTTTGTTGCCAATAATTTGTTTGCATCTTAAAATTATAATAATTTATATTTTATACTTTCAAACTTTGGAATTGTTAATATTACTAATGACTTTAAATTAATATTCACATTTAGATATTAACATAAATTACAAAAATTTTAAAACGGCTGTTTTTAACCTACATTACTAAAAATGCTATAATAATATAGATAATAAGTTGTCTTTTCAAACATTTTCTGTATAAAAAGTATTTAATTTGGCCTTGTAAATGCGTTTAAATTCATTACATTTATGATAATGATATTTCTTATCTTAATATTTCTTATCAGATGTGACTTTCTTGTGAGAACTGAATCAAACTGAGGGCGTACTCACACTATGCACAGTTGCCTTGAACCGAGCCAAAGCATGCTTGCCCCCCCTCCTGTCTTCCCCAACAGCCCGCACTCACATTACATTCAGCACCATGTCATCGATGATGCGCTGTTCAGTAAGAAGTGCTCTCACTCAGCACAGCAGAGATTTCTTTAGTTATATCGTTTTAGTCGTTTGATATAAAGTGACACGCAGTCAAATATTTCACCGAATAGATCTGCCACTTTTGAAGCTCAGAAACAATCATGAAGTCCTCGTGCTGCATGTTTTAGGAGATTTGCTGGAGGTGCAGCTGTCGTGCAGTGAGGTTTTTGCGTCTTTAATAATCTACAACAGTCATGTTTATCGAACAGTAAGAATGATTGATAAATCCATATGAAACAGTCCCTTAAAAGTCACGTCTCGTCCTCAGTTTCAGGCATGCCTTGCACTCACACTACAAGCGTACCACGCCAAAGCCCAAGGGAAGCGCGCTCTGGCACACCTCTTCCAACCGGGCCAGGGCCAGCCAACTGAACCATGCCTGAGCCCGATTCAGAGCACTCACACTTCTCAAACGATCCTGGGCACAGTTCGAATAGTGTAGTGTGAGTGCTCCATGACACTCAAATGTGTTCTGTGATTGGCTGTTTGCTGCATGTGTCACACTTTTACACCCTCAAAAGTTAATGACTTACTCTGCGTTAACAGAGAAGGTTTATATCAAGCTTTGTGAAACAACTGAACCTGATCTTAACCAGTTTGCATTTCTTTGGATTTGTCAACCCAAAATGTACTCTTGCAACCCAGAGTTTGTTCAACTGGTTTTATGCAACAGGCCTCTGAACAAAACCCCAGTAACTCTTAACCTGACAGTTTTGGATTTCTCACCTGCATGATTTTGTCTCCCACCCTGAGACCAGCCACTTCTGCAGGTCCACCTTCAGATACTCGTGTGACATAGATTCCCTGTGAAATAAATAAAGTTCTAAGAGTCATTTTTAAATACAACGCACATACATTTCTGTTTCTTCAGAACATTCCTGATGTTTGACGTTCTGACCCCAAACACGCCTTCTGACCTGTTTGCTATTTGAAATGGATACCATTTTGTGCAATGTGATTTTTAACTACATGCATTAAAAATAGCTAAGGACAGTTTACTGGTCAGACATTCATTTTCTTTTTGGCTTAGTCCCTTTATTAATCAGGGATCACCACAGCAGAATGAACCGCCAACTTATCCCTTCCAGCTGCAATTCATCACTGGGAAACATCCACACACACTCATTCACACACATACACTACGAACAATTTAGCTCACCCAATTCACCTGTACCACATGTTTTTGGACTTGTGGGGGGAACCGGAGCACCCGGAGGAAACCCACACCAACACGGGGAGAACATGCAAACTCCACACAGAAATACCAACTGAACCAGCCAGGGCTCGAACCAGTGACCTTTTTGCTGTGATGCGATTGTGCTACCCACTGCGCCACCATGCTGCCCGACTGGTCAGACATTATAATTACAAATATTGGTAATATATAATTCATACAATGTCCCCGTGTTGGTGTGGGTTTCCAACAGGTGCTCCGATTTACCCCACAGTCCAAAGACATGCAGTATAGGTGAATTAAATAAACTAAATTGGCCGTAGTGTATGTGTGTGAATGAGAGTGTATGGATGTTCCCAGTGATGGGTTGCAGCTGGAAGGGCATGCGCTGTGTAAAACATATGCTGGATAAGTTGGCGGTTCACTCCGCTGTGGCGACCCCAGATTAATAAAGGGACTAAGCTGAAAAGAAAATGAATGAATGTACGTGTGTGTGAATGAGTGTGTATGGATGTTTCCCAGTATTGAGTTGGGGCTTGAAGGGCATCCATGGTGTAAAAAACATAAGCTGGATAAGTTGGCAGTTAATTCCGCTGTGGTGACCCCTGATGCATAAAAGGACTAAGCGGAAAAAAATTACCACACAGAAAGGCCAACTGAGCCAAGGCTCGAACCAGCGACCCAGCGACTTTCTTGCTGTGAGGCGACAGCACTACCTACTGCGCCACTGCTTCGCCCCTATCTGATTTTTGATTCATTAATAATAACAAGTGTAATTTCAATATTTGAACACTGAACTTTAATAAAACTAGTGGCCTTATGCTGAGTTACAGTAGCCTCGGTAGCAGGAAAAAAAAAATGCTTCATCGTGAACAAAACTATTCATTTTACCAAACAGGAGTTCTCACCTTGTCTGCTTTATCTTCAGAAAATGGATTCTGGCTTGGATCTTGGTCGATTCCTCCTCCAATGCTAAATCCTAATATTAGATTGTCACCATCACGTAGTTTGAGAATCTCAATTCGTTGCTGAAATACAAAGAAAATGGATGTACCATCTGAACTCATGATAGCAACTGGAAATCCAGTAAAAACAAATAAATAAATCTAAACTACGTAAATCGCTAATGCATATTTGGAAATTCTCGCATATTGAATATTAGGGCTGCCCAATATATCGTTTCAGCATTGAAATTGCAATGTGATCATTCACAATAGTCACACCGCAAGATAAACAATGTTGAGAATTTTCACAATTTATCATTTGCACATATTTATGATGCATGTGATTGTGTAATGATTTTAAAAACATTCAGGTATAAGAAAGTGTAAGATTTATGACCTTAACTACAATAATTTTATTGAATTATTTTTATTTTGATCATTCAGTTACTGTACTTGAATACTGTTAGACTCTGGAAACGATAAACACTTCATTTCAATTGTATCTTTTTTTTTATTTTATTTATAGATTGTTATGCATAAGAACACATGCAAATACAGAAATGCACTACAAATAGCACAGACCACAGCAAAAATGGGTCAGAGAACCAGAAAAGTTTATAGATTGTTTATTAGATTTTATGAAGATACAAATAGTAAACTTTAATTTAAAAATCTCTGACTACACACGTGCATTAAAATACTCACAACACATGCAAATACAGAAATGGACTGCAAGTAGCACAGACAGACCACAATGAAAATGTGTCGGGGGACCCCAAAGCGTTTATAGATTTGTTCATTAGATTTTACGGGGATTGCACTCCCACTGCAGAATCATTCCAATCAAACTGTTTAAATTGTTTCCAAATAGAGATATTAAGTCATCTAGTGAAATTGTATTCATATCGCAATATAATTGCAACATCGCAACATAATGAAATGTTGCAATGTTAGATTCTTGCCATTTTGTGCAGCCCTATTGAATATTAGAAAGTTTATTCTAAAGATAACAGATAGGTGTTATATATGTAAAAGTAAATTTTCACATTTGTATCTATGACCTTTTAAGTCATATAATTTAATGAAGTGACTTAATGAAGGGATCTTTTTTCATTTTTTTAAAATAAGACTATTATGAAAGAAAAATAACAACATGTGACAAAACTGCATTAAAAAGTAAAATTGAAAACACACAATATCTGTTTGTAAAATCACCAATTAAACTATCATAGCACTTATGATGAGACGTAAAATTATTCTCCATTATCATTCACCATTTCCGCCACTGAATGCTAAAAAAAAAAAAAAGTCAGAATTCTGCGTTACAAAGTCAGAATTGCAAGTTATAAATTCAGAATTCCTAGTTCTAAAGTCAGCAATGCGAGTTATAGAGTGTGAATTGCGAGTTATAGAGTCAGAAATGCAAGTTATAAAGTCAGAAATGCGAGTTATAGACTGTGAATTGCGAGTTATAGAGTCAGAAATGCAAGTTATAAAGTCAGAAATGCAAGTTATAGAGTCTGAATTGCGAGTTATAGTCAGAATTGCGAGACTTTATTCTGACTCTATAACTTGCAATTCTGATTTTATAACTTGCAATTCTTACTTTATAACTTGCAATTCTGACTTTATAACTCAGAATTCTTACTCTATAACTCGCAATTCTGACTGTAATTTGTAATTTTTATTTTATTTGTTTATTTTATTTATATTTTATTCAGTGGCGGGAACAGGCTTTCGTAAGAACCAGCATGTACAGTTTTATTATACAACAAAATCACTTCACATTTCTTAACAAGAAGGATTAAATGAGAAAAGAAGAAATTAAATAAAAAAATAAACAAAACAAAGGACAGGGTACATAATTATCAGATGACATAAATATATTACACATATTTTTCAGAGTTTAGTTATTAACAAAAGTTATTAAATGCACTTTTACTACAGAAAATGCACATATACAAAAATGTATGCAAACATGTTGGAGAAGAGCATATATTAACTGTTTTAAATCCTTTTCTATTTTTAGACTTATTTTAATCTATTTTTCTAGCACCACAGAGGTTTGCTTTTATTTTATTTACATAACATTAAAATAAAGTTTATAGTAAAACCAGCATCTTTTAAAAAGCGATCCTTATAATAACCCCAAATCACCAAAGAATATTTGCAAAAACCTTTAAAAACATGTTTGTGTTTTTAGCAGCTGCGATACAATCTAGGTAGTAAGCTCACTATGATTTAAGACACATCCCACGGCACAGCTGTGTGTAACCATATATGGCAGCACTACCTGAAGAAAACACATGAACCACACCTGCTTAAGGTTACATCACACCTGAGTGACATCAGAACAGTTTAAATAGAATAAAATTAACGATTAAAGCTTATATTGTTATCGTGAGTTATTACCGGACAGGGCTGGTAATCTTTGTGTAAATGACATTAACGTTACATTTCAATGAAGTCCATGCACTCTTTACTCGTAAAGTGTTTGACTTCGCTATATAGTTATTGTTACATTATTTAATAATTAATATTAATCAAAGAAAACAATACAAATTTAAAAATGAGATATTTAAACAATTAACAATTGTTCACTTTGTTCGCACTGGCTAGCGTTAGCCTAGCATGCTAACCCTTTCCATTTTTATCAGCTGTCATCTTAAACTCAAATAAACTTAACAAAACACTCCTGTCATGTCATATATTAGCGATGGTTATTAAAAAGAGATTACATTAGCTGCTTTCTTAGTCAAGCGACAAAAAACGAATCACTGGCGGAATTAAAAAACTGCAAAAGCAGTAACGTAACGTACAAAGCAGAGTCAGTCCACTGATGCTAGTGGATGCTAAAACTTTATCTTACTGGACGCAAACTCACCACGACAGCTGTGACGGGCTGACCAGGTATAAACGACATTTTCTTCTGCTTAAAAAGTTGTTAAATCTGCTGGAACTGTCGGGCTTTATTTCTGTGATTTTTCTCTGATAATAATGTTAGGGTGTTCGGTTCCTCCCCTTTGGCTATGTGTGTGTCATGTTGGGGCTGGGCTGCATTACTCATACACACACCCTGCCCTCAAGTCTGCATTGCACTTATCTCGCATTATTCGTATTATTTTTTTTCGTTCATTCACTGAATCAAATGTGTATGATGTTAAGTATATGTGTATACTTATGTTGACTCGTTCACGGCCATATATATCTAAAATAGTGATTTCCATCATTTTGCTGTCATTTAGCCAAGCACCACCACTGACTCTCCAGCAGATGACAGTGTTTGATCAGCATTGATATAATGATTTACATTTTTGAAGGATTAAAATATTTCAAGACAGTGTTACGATTCTTAATAATAAAATAATGTTAAATGATAACTAATTTACATGATACAATAATGTAAATCCCTAGTAAAAAATAAAAAAAACAGCTTAAACCAGCCAAGGCTGATTGGTTGGTTTTAGCTGGTGGACCAGGTTGGTTTTAGAGGGGTTTTGGCCATTTCCACGCTGGTTTCCAGCCATTTCCAGCCTGGTCTATGGAAGCTATATCTAGCTTAAACTTGGCTGGTCAAGCTGGTTTTAGCTGGATTTAACTGGTCATTTTCCAGCCTGACCAGCTAAAACCAGGCTGGAAATGGCCAAAACCCCTCTAAAACCAGCCTGGTCGACCAGCTAAAACCAGCCTAGGCTGGTTTAAGCTGGATATTTCAGCAGGGAAACACGTTTGAAGTTCTATATAGTCTTATTATTGTTGTTACACTAAAAATATATATTTTAAATTGTTTTACTTTAGGTGGCTCAATGGTTAGCTCACAGCAAGATGGTCGCTGGTTCGAGTCCCAGCTGGACCAGTTGGCATTTCTGTGTAACGTTTGCATGTTCTCACCGTGTTGGTGTGGGTTTCCTCTGGGTGCTCCGGTTTCTCCCACAGTCCAAAGACATGCAGTATAGCAGAATAAGCTAAATTGACCGTATATGTATGAATGAGTGTGTATGGGTGTTTCCCAGCTAGGTTGCCTCTGGAAGGACATCCGCTGCGTAAAACATATGCTGGATAAGTCGGTAAGTTAATTTCTCTGTGACGACCCCTGATGAAATAAAGGGACTAAGCCGAAGGAAAATGAATGCATGAAGGTCAGCCCAGGGTTATTGGTACTGAATGTGCATTTGTAGTGCACTTCATATCTTATTTATATGTTTTTAAAAACTGCTCTAAATATTTGTGTGATAATCACATTTATGGATTATAACATACACTTTTCATTTAAATTAAGAGGGTTTTTTATGCTTTAGTTGTAATTTAATTAAATGTATTTTTTTTGGTCAATTTTAAGTAGTTTTTATGCATGTGATTTAAAGAAATTCATGTTTTTGTGTTGATGACATACTGAAGCGCATTTAAAGTACTTGACTATAGAATTGCAACTGACATGCGTTTAAATACAGTATTAAGTTCACATTTGTTCTATACTGTTATACATATTTTAATAATATTTTAGTTGCATTCATTCATTCATTCATTCATTCATTCATTTTTATTCAGCTTAATCTCTTCATTCATTAGGGGTTGCCACGGCGGAATGAACTGCCAACCCATCCAGAAGCCTGCTCACACTGTGGAGATTTCAGCCACGATTTTGTCATCTAAGGCAAATTTGGGAAATCCTAAAAGATTCTTAAAATCCTAGGCTAAAAATTGTGGTCTTTGATCGTTGGTTTGACATGTCCTTTGATGAAGTTCTGGCAATGTCAGAAGGTTTCTATGGAAACTCACTGTGTGTGAGTTCTAACGCCCCAGTATATTGATGGGTCTCTATACTGCTCAGTGAGCACCTTCTTTTGGATGAGACCTTAAATCGAGGTCCTGACTCTCTGTGGTCATTAAAAATCCCAGGATGTCTTTCGAAAAAGAGTAGAGGTTTAACCCCGCCATCCTGGCAAAATTTGGCCACTGGCCTCTGCCCATCATGGCCTCTAACCATCCCCATATCATAATTGGCTTCATAACTCCGTCTCCTCTCCACCAATCACCTGGTGTGCGGTCTGGCGCAATATGGCTGTCATCACGTCATCCAGATGAATCCTGGTGGTGGATGTGGAGATTCCTCCCATTGTGTAAAGCGCTTTGAGTCTCTAGAAAAGCTCTATAAAAATGTAAGGAATTATTATGATTAATTATTAGCATATGTTTCACACAGCGGATGCACTTCCAGCTGCAACTCAGTACTAGGAATCATCCATACACACTCATTCACACACATACACTATGGCCAGTTTAGTTTATTCCGTTGTCCTATAGCGCATGTCTTTGGACTGTGGGGGAAACCGGAGTACCAGGAGGAAACCCACGCCAACAGGGGGAGAACATGCAAACTCCACACCCAAATGCCAACTGACCCAGATGGAACTCAAACCAGCGACCTTTTTGCTTTAAGGCAACAGTGCTAACCACTGAGCCACCATGTCGCCCTATTTTAATTACAAGTATTTTTTTAAAGCATGTAATTTTTCTCTACATTTTCCACAAGCACGTTCTATTCTGATGAATTTGACCCCCCCAAAAAAATTCAGTCATTATAAAAAAAAATCTAGAATTCAGACAAACAAGTTTGACCAAATGTCCTTTTCTCCTGTTGGCAGTTTGTTTATTAGACATGTAATACACTACTGAAAATGCATGTTCGTCATAAACATTCTTCTTACATAAGAGCTTGTTTTATTCTTTTTATTTTTATAATGCAAAAATACTTAATACTTCCCACTGTCGGCAATGTAAAACTCTCAACCATGTCCTCACCCCAATGAAAAATTCACAAAACCTGTTTAAATAGGACAATCGAGGACACTGACTATGTTCAGAACAGCATACTAACATACTACTCTTAATATCTCTGCATTATATAGTATGTTCACTGTGCATAGTATGTATCTGTATAATACCTGGATGACCATTTGCCAAAATATGCTAAACATAACCTGAGCAGCACTGCACAGATTACTGTATCCTAAATGTAGCGCAGCATAAACATGCAATATCATGAGGTCACGTGACAGCAGTGTAGCATAGTACTGTTTGATACATGAAATGTTGCATATTTCGTACGTTTTGACCATTTTTAATATAAAGCAGTATACAGTAGTGTGGAGTATGCTAGTATCCCATTCCAAATATAGCCATTCACTGATTTTTCAAGTATATTTCCCAACATTTTTGACTCACAAATGCTGTCTGTTATAAAGATTCTTAAAGTACACTTAATCTACACTAGCTTTAAAGTAGTTCGCTATGCTCTCAAAAAGAAGGTTATCCTTTTAAAGCTTGGGATCAAATACTTCATAGTCAGTCCTTTGTTTATCATTCATCTTGTCAAATGTTTTTTGAGAGAATTTGTTGATGCTCATGACAGAAAACATGAGGTATCCTGGTACTGGATGGCTCAATTAAACTGCATAGGAACATATGCGTCATCCACCTTTAGTCATATATATATATATACACCATCGACAAAACCCACACACGACATCTATCTGCACAGTTACTGTGGAATCATGGGAGCAGCCTGAGATGGGACATAGGAACAAGTCCTCTGATTGTTCGTCTACTGTCCAGGCACATACGGCCAGCTGATGGAGCTTCCAGAGAGCTGCATGTCCCGGATTAGAGTTTCGATTGGCGTCTTGCCAACCAGCCGCATGAAGAAGAGTTGAGAGATGAGGTTGGCGGGAACGGCTCTCAGAGCGGGAAGTCGCAGCAGGAGCCGGCCGAACCGCTGGGGCTGGCCTGGATACTGCATCCGCTCGTATTCGGTCAGGGCCACCTGTGCTTTCTCCTGCAAGCTCTCGACGTGCGCTGGATCCGACAGCCCGCATGCATCTGCAGGAAACACAGCATTTAAAACACAGCTCAAATCACAACAGCAAATGCAATGATCATTAGGCACTGACATGCGAAAATTGTTTTCAAGAAGAAGAATTCGTGGCCTGACTGGGCTAACTGAAATCTGTAAGTAGACTAGCGTTTAAGTATGTTACAAGACTTTTGGCCAGCGGAGAAATTAAAATGGTCGTGCCGAACTGAGTCTGGTTCTCTCAAGGTTTTTTTTCCTCACTCCCATCAGGTGAAGTTTTTTTTCCCTCTCCGCTGTCGCCACTGCCTCGCATGGTTCAGGATTGGTAGAGCTACGCATCGATGAATTTGCTCTTCAGTGTTTGAACTCTCAGTAATGATTAAATCACACTGAACTGAGCTAAACTGAACTGAACTTAAACACTAAAAACTGAACTACACTGTTCCAGTTACTATGACCATTTATGTGAAGCTGCTTTGACACAATCTACATTGTAAAAGCGCTATACAAATAAAGCTGAATTGAATTGAATTGAATTGTTAACAAACTAATATACTGTATTATATAATAATACAAGGGTGCCTAATCATGTTTCTGGAGAGCTTGCGAAATTCTGTCGTACACTGCAAAAAAGGGTGGGATTAATCTTTGCGAAACTTGTTGCACAAGCTTGTGTCTCCAGTCTGCCACATTTGTATGTATAAAGGCTGATTTATACTTCTGCATCAAACACCGGCGTATGCTACGGCGCTGACGCATAGCCCTTCGCCGTGGCCGTCGGCGTCACTGACGTGCACCTCTCAAAAAATGTAACTACACGTCGCAACAACCCGTAGCGCAAGCTCTGTGATTGGTCGGCTTGGTAGCGATGACGAGTCGGGGCGGGACCAAGAGCCGCGCGAATGGCGCGAACCCAATGTAGCGATTGTTTACAAGTGTGGAGTCCCGTGAAGGAGCTCCGGATGGAAAGTTTTGTTTTGTGTTTACCTAATAGTTAAAGTTGTTGCACGTCCGCCGGTTCCTGCCTCAAAATGAGCGAGTTTAAGCCACTTGTACATCCCGGAAGTGTTCAGGAAAAGCAAAAAAGCAGCAAAGAAACTCGACACAGAGGAACATTTACACCTCACTGCCAGCTAGCGTTTCGGAAGTGTTATTGCAGACCAACAGAGACAGCGCGCAGAAGTATAAATGCACAGCCACGCGCTTTACCTGCGCCGTGGGTTACGCCGGTCACTTGACGCAGAAGTATAAATCAGGTTTAAGAATGGAAGTTTATGGAAGTCTAAGGGTGTACTCTCACTATGTACAATTGCCTTAAACCGGGCTGAAGCACACTTGTCCCCCCTCCCATCTCCCCTGATGGCCCACTCTCACATTGCATTCGCACCTGAGCATGCTTACATCATCAATGATGTGCTGTTCAGTAAGAAGTGCTCTTGCTCAGCACAGTGGAGATGTCTTTAGCTATATAGTTTTAGTCATTTGGGATGCTTTGACACGCAGTCAAATATTTCGCCGAACAGATCTGCCACTTTTGACACTCATAAACAATCATATAGTCTTTGTGCTGCAGGAATTAGGAGGTTTGCTGAAGGTGCAGCTGTCGTGCAGTGAGGGGTTTGCGCCTTTAATAATCTACGACAGTTTGCGTTCATTGAAAAGTAAAAATGATTAATAAATCCAAATGAAACTGTCCCTTAAAAGTCACATCTCGTCTTCAGTTTCAGGTTCATGTAAACCTTGCTCTGGCACACCTCTTCCAACCGGGCCAGGGCCGGACAAGTAAACCGTGCCTGAGCCTGATTCAGAGCACTCACACTTCTCAAATTGGCATAGTCCGGATAGCACAGTGTGAGTATGCCCTAAGTCAGTGGCTGCAGAAGGTAAGAATTTCTCAGCTTTTCAAGTGCCAACGGAAGCATCAGCCAATCAGATCAATTTCTGCATTTACTGCTTAGACAGTAGCCGATTGTGGACTATTTTCAATGGCTGATGATCTTGCTATGACTTCAGACTTCAGACATGCCCTCCGTAAAGTGTTGACGCTGAAGCCCTGTGCGAATTGGGCGTAAGTTAAAGGGGGGTGGGGGGGTTGAGGTTGTTGGGGTGCTATCGGCAAGTGAAGACCGGGTGGGAAGGGGAATTAGGTTGGGAAGGCCAGATTCACAGTGCTCCCTATGGCCAGTTCACCCGGACCACTCGGGGTGTGAGTGCAGCTTTAGTTGTTTTGCTCAGGGTTGGAGCTGAACTCTGCAGGAAGGTAGAACTTCAGGAACAAGAGTGGACACCCCTGTAATTATACATTTAAACATGCTAACATACTAACTAAAATATTATATTCTGTGAAGAGTGACTAGTGAAATGACCCTAAGTGACACTAATCTCGATCCTGTAGGGTCGGTGTGCCTGCAGAGTTTAGCTTCAACTTGCCTCAACACACCTCCCTGGAAGTTTCAAGTATACCTAGTAAAACCTTGATTAGCCTGTTCAGGTGTGTTGAATTAGAGTTGGAACTAAACTCTGCAGGACACTGGCCCTCCAGGATCATGTTCGGTTACCCATGCACTAAGGCATTACGACTGGATTTAGCACTGCCTTAATTAGGAGTACCGATAAGTGGGGGGAAAGTTAGAACGATACTAACTGGCACATTACAAAGTGCAACGAGTGAGTGTTTTCAGTTCATTATTATGAAAGGTGATTGTAATGTATTGTGTTAGCATTGATGCTAATCTTCTACATGAAAAAAAAAATACACTGGCTCTGCTGTGTTCGCATTGTGAAATGCATCATTTGGGTCCACTTATTTTTGGGGGGCCCCAAGAGATGTTGTTTATTAGTATTAACTGTACTATCAGGGGGCCCAACTTCATATTCTTGCTAGTAGCATCCATACCAATCTGTAAATCACTGATGCTAAGCATGGTTGAGTTTGGTCAGTACCTGTTTTGGAGCGCACCTGGGACCAGGTAGGTTTTGGAGGTGGTGTCAGTGTCTATGTAGGTCTTAATAGCACAGTATAGTGACAGAATTCTGACTGCTCGAGAAACGTAACAGACGTTCTGACTTTGTGTTTATAAAAAATCTCATGGCACTGGCATCCTGCATGGTAAAAACATTATGTGTGTAACCCTCAAGTTCTGGTCAGATTCTCTTCATTGACCCTTACCTACCATGGCTTCCCAATAATCCCTATTCATTGAATTGGCTTTATCACTTTCTCTCCTCACCACCTAATTCATGGGGTGAGCTCATTGGCGTTGTTGTCTTGAAGCTGCTATGGGATTATCCACATGGATGCTGAACACTGGTGATGAGGACAGACCCACTAATGTGTTACTTTGGAGTTTTTTAATGTATTTTGTAAATCTATGACTATACATCCCAGTTTTCTGAAATATCACAATTTTACACCATCTTCAAACTAATCCACAGCAACACTGCACACTCTAAAAAATAGCTCAAGAGGTCTGTCACCACTACATAGTTTAATACATTGTTCTAACTAATAAAATCTATATTGCTGATTAAATTAAAACTTTTAAGTTGCCATAATAATTTTATTAAATTTTCACAACAGGAAAATACAGCAACTTAAAAATGTGGCTAATTTAAAGGTAAATATATCTGTCAATTAGTTTAAAACAATATTTAACTTGTAGCAACCCAAAGAAATTGGGTAGCTAATTCTATTTTTCCACACATATGGAGTTGTTTTGTATTTTTAAGTCCACACACTGATGTTTTTTGTTATTTTCATAATGTTTATATGGGACAGTACATGCTTTTGTTTTGTAAAGCAATGAAAATCTTTGGTTTAAAACAAAAAAAAACATTACTGAAAAACAAAAATGTTGGGTTAAATGTGTTTCTACACTACAAAAATATTTTTTTCTGCTTGTTCAAACTACTTATTTAAAATGAGCTGAAACAAAACATTTCTTAAGATTGTTTTGGGAAATGTAATTGTTTTATGTTCAATCTACTTAAATAAGTTATTGTAACTTAATGGATTTGTGTTGGGACAGCATAAATGAATTGTGTGCAGCCCTGCATTTTTTGTTCAGTGTACAAGCAACTAAATGAACAGTAAATTTTAAAACAAACCAAAAATTAAACAAATTCAGCTACGTTTTTTAATTGAAGTTCTAAACTGGAAAACTTGCATGTAATTAAGTACATGGCACTGGATTTGGTTGAAATTTGTTGAAGCAACTTCATTTTAGAGTACTCAGCATAAACTAAATTTTTTAAGTCATGTAAAAATGCCTCTTATTAAAGAGGAAAAGGTCATTTGGCTAACATAATAAAGTTTGTTGTCTGAAATTCATTTTGTTAGCCGTAACTTGAATATATTGATGCAAACTGTTGCGTACATTTTTTTTGGTGCAGCCAACATATTACTATTTACAATTGTGTATTGACATGATTTGAGCGCAGCACAATATAAAACATTCATTCAATTCTCTGTCACACTGCAGTAAGACCAAAACAATACGTCTGGAATATTTAAATTTGTAGAAAGCTCATATAGGTCTACTCCCTTGTTCACACAAAAAAAAATGTAATAAGATAAGAAGGTGTTTTGAGCATGTAGCTCATTTTACCAATGTGTCCTTAAGGGTTTTAGGATGTTGTTCTGCATTTACTGATGTGTTCTGGGTAGTTTGAATGTTACTGTGCATGTTCTGAAAGGATTTAGCATGTAGCTTGTCTTTACTAATGTGTTCTGAAATGTTATGTCTCACTTATGTCTTCTCTAACTTGTTTTGAGAGGTTTAGCATGTTGCTATATGTGCTTACTGACTTGTTCGTAAAGGTTTTAGCACAAAGCTATGCTTTTATTACAGTTTTACCCTCTTGCTATACCTTTCATAAAATGATTGAAGTACATGCAGTATGTTGATATATGATCATTTTCTGATTAGTTCTGTGTTAGCATGTTCTGAAGGGGTTGGGCATGTTGCTATGGCATCATTGATGTGTTCTGAGGTAGTTTAATATCTGTTATGCATGTTCTGAGATTGGCTCGTAGAAAAGTAATCATGTCTTATGTGTTTTGGGGGATCTTGCCGTATTGCTGTGCTTTTACTAACATCGGTAACACTTTATTTGCATGGTTCATTTGAGTATTAGTAGACAGTCTGCTTAATATCTGATGATACTGCTGCCAAGCAGACATTTAACTGACTATAAGAAACTTTACATGTCATCTACATGTCAACTCCAACCTAACAGTCTACTTAAAATGTTATGAGAAGTAGTTTCCAAGTAAATGCAATGTAACTTAAATTCAACAAACGAACCATCAAAATAAAGTGTGACCCTAACATATTCTGAATACATGTTATTAAGGTGTTAGTTTAGTGCAGGGGTCACCAATTCTGGTCCTGGGGGGCCGGTGTCTCTGCAGGGTTTATCTCCATCTTGCCTCAGCACACCTGTCTGGATGTTTACCTAGTAAGACCTTGATTAGCTTGTTCAGGTGTGTTTGATTAGGGTTGGAGCAACAATCTGCAGGACACCGGCCCTCCAGAAACAAGTTTGGTGACCACTGGTTTAGTGCATTGATTTCCATTTGCTTAATTATTCTGAATGGCATTAGCTGATTGCTGAACAGTTTTTAAGGACATTGCTATGCCTTTTGTAGAATGTTTGCTGGTTGCTACTTAAGATGAAGTCAATATATTTTGTCCCAAAGACCTACATTTCTATGAAAGTCGTGGACTAACCCAAATACAGTTCACCTCAAAAGCCTACGTTTCTGTAACACTTTAACACTTGCTAAAAACAATAATATATAACGCCTTGTAAATTAAAAGTAAACATCCTTAATATAATGTAGTCAGTAAGTAATGTGGATTTATATAGCACATTTATTGTGTAGGGCCATACACCTAAAGTTCTTCACAATCATGAGAGGGGTCTTTCCATGCCACGACCAGTGTGCAGCATCCACTTGGCTTAGATGATGCGATGGCAGCCACAGGTCAACTGTGCCAGTGCGCTCACCACATACTATATCTATAATATAGCTATAGGGGGAGTGGGGAGACAGTGATACAGCCTGGATTCGGTGGATGGGGATGATTGGGAGGCCGTGATCATAAGGGCCGATGGAGGATGGACCATCCGACGGACAACGGGGTTACACCCTTACTCTTTTAAGAAGTGCAATGGGATTTTTAATGACCACAGAGAGTCAGGACCTCAGGGTGCTTTCACACCTACACTTTTGTTTCGGAACGTGTCTCGTTTGCCCAGTTAGCGCGGTTCATTTGGCATATGTGAACAGGGCATTCGCGCTCTGTTCCGCGCCAAAGTAATCACTCCGAGACCGCCTGATTCACTTGCATTTATTTTTAGACATTAAAAACTGCTCGTTTCGCTGTTTGATGTTAAAAACTGATATTTCCTTGTTATATTATTCTACTTGGTCTGTATAGTCATGCAAACATTTGTTTGTAGAGCAAGTAGTTTGACCGTTTTTTGCCGTTTATTATTCCTTGTCATTTCTCCCATAGGCGACTGAAACGGAAGTTCTAAGACAATCGCGAAAACAGGCGCACTTCCGCATTTTAGAATAAGGTCAATAGTTTTAGGACAACTTTGATGAAAGGTTTTGATCTGCTTAAAATGTTGACTGTTTCATACAGTGTTATTTTACAATTGATCTTATATCGGTACCTCAAAACAGTTCAGACTCTTCAGACAACCATAAATCACTGTTTGTTTACTTGTATATTTGTTCTATTTTATTAATTTATGCTTGTAATATGTTTATTACATATCTTTACATATCATTATCTTTATGCAGATTCACTCCCCTACAAAATCAAGACCATCAAATTAAACTTCCTAATTCTTTCCAAATAGAGTTAGTCACATTGTGAAATTGTATTCATATTGCAATATACAGTTGAAGGCACAATTATTAGCCCCCCTTTTGGTTTTAGTTTTCCTTTTTAAATATTTCCCAAATGATTTTTAACAGAGCAAGGAAATTTTCACAGCATTTCTGATAATATTTTTTTCTTCTGGAGAAAGTCTTATTTGTTTTATTTCGGCTAGAATAAAAGCAGTTTTTAATTAAAAAAAAAAACATTTTTGGGACAAAATTATTAGCCCTTTTTAAGCTAATGTTTTTTAGATAGTCTACAGAACTAACCATCGTTATACAATAACTTACCTGATTACCCAAACCTGCCTAGTTAACCTAATTAACCCAGTTAAGCCTTTAAATGTCACATTAAGCTGTATAGAAGTGTCTTGAAAAATATCAAGTAAAATATTATTTACTGTCATTAGGCAAAGATAAAATAAATCAGTTTTTAGAAATCAGTTTTTAAAACTATTATGCTTAGAAATGTGCTGAAACAATCTTCCCTCCATTAAACAGAAATTGGGGAAAAAATAAACAGGGGCGCTAATAATTCAGGGGCGCTAATAATTCAGGGGGGCTAATAATTCTGACTTCAACTGTATATTGCAAAAAAACAAAAGAATTTATAGCAATATCAGTTTATCCCAATATTGTGCAGCCCTACTTGATGTATATCTTGATAAAAAAGAATAATTTTGTGCAATTTTTTCTAACACAGTACTTTTGGAGTGCATCTCTCACCTGGTGAGAACAGAGCGATGGCTTTCAGACAGCTGTATTCAACAGAATCCACCTGCAGTCGTGTCAGCTTGTCCACCTGGTCCTGAAAGACCCGCACCTGGTCCATGAAGGACACGACGCGATCAGCGGGCATAGGGGAGGAGTGAAACCCTGCAGCTGCCAGCAGAGGGGCCGTGTGCAGGGGCAGCGCCGACTGAGCTGCATTCAGGATAAACAGTTCACTCCAGCTGAGCCTCAGAAGGGCCACCTGCTCTGACACTGGCAGGTCAGGAAAATAGGGAATATTCCTGGCCCACTCAATAGTGCTGAACAGCAGCCGGGCTGCAAGCTCACATATATTGTCAATGCCCATCATGGAGCTGTTGGCGCCTTGGAGCTGCTGGCCACACTGGGCTCCATAACGGCTGTTGGGGTACGGCTCTGCTCTCAGTAGTTGAGAGATGAGTTCAGACACTGGCTGACCATTAAAAAAATCAGCACCCATGCCCGGACCTCCTCCAACATCACCACCTGCTCCTACCATGGAGGCTGGGCTGATGCCTGCGTGGGATGGAGGAATTCGGCCACGCTGAACAGCTGGAAAAAAAAGAGGGCGGGAAAACTCAGTATAATGATCCAAACAAATCTCGTTTTGAATAATGCAAGTAAAATTACACTATCAGAGTTATAAAAAATAGATATAAATATTATAATATACATAAATGGTTTACTAGGGGTTTGCTGACCTTCTTTCCTCATACCGACCCGGAAGCACTTCTTCAGACGGCAGTACTGACACTGGTTACGGTGATGCTGATCAATCTGACATTCTCTGTTTGATCTGTAAATGTAGGATAGATAGCTTTGAGATGATATAATACATGAGAGGAACACTATTTAAGGTTTAACACTTTTCAATAGGATTAAAATGAATAAATAAATAAAAATTGTATAAATAAATAGTATCAAATGAATAGTTGTAAACCCTGGGCCGGAGTGCAACGCCTTTTCAGCCCTAGAATTTTAAGCCTTAGACCGGCCCATCAGTTCACGACTGACTATATTAAAATAACCTTATTTCCAATTCAGTTTCTAATGACACTATCACGTCTTTTTCAAGGGCACAGCTGCTTTAGAACTTCAAATGTTTTTCATAAGAATGAGAACATTAAAGCGTAGCTAATTCTCCAACACTAATCTTTAAAACATCACAATGTCCTTTCCTGCAATATCTGAATATATATTCTGTGCACAATTCTTTATAGATATCCAGTCCTTTGTAATGGTGGTCACACAAAAAAATACAAATTAAATATGTACACCTACATAAGTAGCCCAAACAGTATTATATGTCTTTTCATTCATTTTCTTGTCGGCTTAGTGCCTTTATTAATCCGGGGTCGCCACAGCGGAATGAACCGCCAACTTATCCAGCAAGTTTTTACGCAGCGGATGCCCTTCCAGCCGCAACCCATCTCTGGGGAAAATTATATGTCTTAAAAATGTAAAAATAATAATAATATTAATAACTTAGGAGAAGCTCGAACTTAGGTTGGCGTCGTCTTTACGCAACGTGCTGACCACAGGACCACATTGGCTCTGTTTTGCTGCTGCGTTTGGAATAAAAAACAAGACTCTGCAAGAGTCAAGTTACCTGCAAGACTCTTTCAACCACAGTATTAATTTCTATTGATGGCTTAAACTTTTTCTTCCCTTTTTAGATTTCTGATCAAGTTATGTCAGATTTATTAATGTAGTAAACCTTCTGATTTTCATTGAAAAGGTGTAATATTCATTAATATTAATTATTCGAATTGTTATATTCACTAAGGTGCCGCTGTTTGAGGTCGAAGGTCATCATTAACCTTCAGGCTGCATTTTGCTTACGGGGCTGCGAGAAAAAAAAAAAAAGAGCGGAGCTGCGGCAAAATAATGAATAAAAAGAGTGAGGCTATGGACAAATAAATAAGTGCGACTTATGAGAGTGCAAGCAGCTAGGGACACTGGCCCTTGCGGCCCAAAAGCTAGCTGGCAGCTGGCTCTCTGCAACTCTCACATGGTCGCCCACTGAAGCTAAGCAGGGCTGTGCCTGGTCAGTGCCTGGATGGGAGACCACATGGGAAAGCTAGGTTGCTGCCGGAAGTGGTGTTAGTGAGGGCCAGGAGGGGGCACCCAACCTGTGGTCTTTGTGGGTCCTAATGCCCCAGTATAGTGACGGGGACTCTATACTGCTCAGTGAGTGCTGTCTTTCGGATAAGAATCGAGGTCCTGACTCTCTGTGGTTGTTAAAAATCCCAGGATGTCCTTCGAAAAGACTAGGGGTTCAAAGCCTGGTTTATACTTCTGCGTCAAGTGACTGGCATAACTCACGGCGCAGGTAACGCGCGCAGCTGTGCATTTATACTTCTGCGCGCTGTCTCTGTTGGTCTGCATTAACACTTCCGAAACGCTAGTTGGCAGTGAGGTGTAAATGTTCCTCTGTGTCGAGTTTCTTTGCTTCTGTTTTGCTTTTCTGAACACTTCCTGGATGTACAAGTGACTCAAACTCGCTCATTTTGAGGCAGGAACCGGCGGACGTGCAACAACTTTAACTATGAGGTAAACACAGAACAAAACTTTCCATCTGGAGCTCCTTTACGGGACTCCACACTTGTAAACAATCGCTCGTGCCATTCGCGCGGCTCTCGGTCCCGCCCAGACTCGTCGGCGCTACCAAGCCGACCAATCACAGAGCTTGCGCTACGCATTGTTGCGACGTGTGGTTACATTTTTTTGAGAGGTGCACGTCAGTGATCCCGACGCGTTAGCATACGCCGGCGTTTGACGCAGAAGTATAAATCAGCCTTAACCCCGGCATCCTGGCCAATTCTGCCCACTGGCTTCTGTCCATCATGGCCTCCTATATAATATGTAAGGAATTATTATTATTATTATTATTATTAAAAACTGACCGGCCCACAGGGAATTCTCCCGGTCCTTCCGTTGAGGCAATCCAGGCTTGTCTAAACCTTACAGTTTTTAGTTTTGCTCTGTTGCATGGTAATAAAAAAGTCACAATCAGATCTTCCCTGGATATTATTTAAATCTCTGCTTAATGCAATTTGCATGCCAAGAACAGATAAGATTATAAAACAAAACACTCTGGTCTTGTTCTATCTTGGCATTTGTTATATTGAGACATAACAATTTGCAAAAACACAAGTATGGACATGCCATCTTCACAGTAATTAAAGGCAATCACCATTTTAAAAGAATCCACTGATTATTAATTGACTAATATTCACTCAATCTCTTTACTTTGACTTATTCCCTTCTTTCATCAGCGGTCGCCACGGCAGAACGATCTACTAATTACTCTGTCACAGGTTTTACTGTGTTTTACTGATATCTTTTTTGCCTCAACCCAGCCATGAGAAAACGTTATCTCTTGCAACCCCCAGAGCTGGGAAACACCAACACACTCTCCCATTTACACACTCACATTCACACACTTTGGACAATTTCATTCATTTTCCTTCGGTTTAGTCTCTAATTCAGAGGTCGCCACAGTGGAATACCAACTAGTCCACTTTGGACTGTGCGGGAAACGGGAGCACCCGGAGAAAACCCACGCAAACATGGGAAGAACATGCAAACTCCACACAAAAATGACAACTGGCCTTGCCGGGACTCAAACCAGCGACCTTATTGATGTGAGGCGACAGTGCTAACCACTGAGCCACCGTGCCACCCCTTATGGACAATTTACTTGATCTAATTCACTCATACCACATGTTTTTGTACTGTGGGTAAAGTTACTATGTGAATTAATTGCCATAATGCCTAAAAGGAGTTTAAAATGATCCATAATGCACAATACAGAATATCAGTGAATAAAAATAGACCTAATTACATGAACAAATGTGAGTGGTTGTAAAATCCTGTGACCTTCAAATTTTAAGCCATAGAATTTCTAACTCTACGGAAAACAACACATTAATTTTGGTTGCATTGTTAAAATCTAACAAATATAACTCAGTCTTTTGACCGTTTAGTGAATTACTCTCTATCCTTGTGAGCTGTCATACGTGAAGAGCTCTCAAGTGATTCCCAGGTAAATTATGGCGAAACCTTGGCACAAACACAAAGGACGCAGTTCTGTTCACTCATTCCTAAAGTTCCCATGGCAGCAGTGCTAATGTTAGATCTGCTGCAAGAGGCCAATTATACACACAACATGCACAATTGTGTTTCAATGGCCATGTACGGCATCTTTGTGCATCATTCAGCTGTAAAAGCACTTTTTGTTGTTGTTTGGAGGGCAATGAAGATGTAGCGTATTGCTACCATGACATGCTTTGGATGTTTTTGGATGCCTGTTTGCAATTATTGTGAAAACATTGAAATTAGCAAGCCTTAGTCACCAGAATTCATCATAATTTGATGTTCAACTTTTGAAAAGACATGTTGACATCCAATTAGTGTTCTAAAAGCTTATATATATTCAAAGAATGTGAATGCAAATGCTCCTAGTTAGCTTGATTTCTGTTGTCTATTTTATATGCATCAGAATGCATCAATCTACAACAGGTTGTTTTTGTTCTGAGCTACTGCCAAGGCTGAGCTACGGTTTGAGAAAAGCTTGTTCATAACACACATTTAAAGGTAGCACTAGCTATGTTTCCATCCAAAGATGCAAAAAAATGTATGCACAAAACAGGAATATCGTAAAAGACATGCGAATAAAGCAGCATTTCCATCCAACAAGTCAAAGAGAACACGCATTCTTGATTCTGGCGGTAATTAATAATATAATAACGCTAATACTGAAATGGTTGAGGCCTTTTAGAATGATCAAAACAGCATTTCAGATGTTTTATAATGCGGTCAGCCTGCTTGTTTGTCTATTCGCACACATTTTATCATCACATGATCTCTTATAACAACATCACATGACTTTTTTTAATGCACATACTGGAATTTGTTCGGTAAAAGTGTTTGCATCATAGTTTATGCACTTCTTTTCTTATCGGATAAAAGTTTATTCTACTCTGTTATGCGCATATGTTTTTTATGTGCATTTTCAAAACTTTTGCGCTTCTTAGCGTTTCCATCATCTGTTTTTTTTTTTTATGCACATATCCAAAATGCACATAAAATAGGTGGATGGAAATATAACTACTGTCACCCAGTGTAAATTCACACCTACCACTACACTACTATGCATAATGCAGGTTTACAAGGGGTCTAAAACGTTTTGATCTTGTCCACTTTTGACCACTTTTAAGGTAGTGGTCTAATTTGAAGGTGGAAAAAGTGAATGCTCGCTTACGGTTCTAAATCCAACACAAACCAACAGGCTACAGTGTAGTTTTGGAGCTATTCAGAAAACAATTAAAAGCTGCTGCTAATTGTGATACCTTAATAAAATCAATATGTAACTATTTATTAATAACTGTCAATGGAATCAAAATAAATGGCAGAAAATTCCAAGTGTATCTGCGGACTGCAAGATAGGGGTGTAGCATGAAGGGGCGTAACATGCAGTTATCGAGATCCTATTGAACCATGTGAGATGTCACAATGAGATGTTGGCAAGATGGCAGAAACATTTTCATCAAATGTTTTTACAAATTTTCTTCAAATTTATCCACAAACAATTAATTTGATATCTTATTATATCCATTCAATTAGCAACTCCACCATACAACTCCACTCGTTGACTTCCTCATCCGTTTTGTCATTACAACTAGCGACTACGTCACTACCTGTGGTTGAAAATAACAGTACAATGGCGAATGCGTCATGTATGAAAGCCGCTGCAGCTCACGGCTGTACGTTAAAAAATGTGATGGTTGGGTTTAGTGTTGGGGAAGTTGTAGATGTTAATAACTGTGATGGTTGGGTTAGGGTCAGGGCCGGAACAAGCTGAACTGCTGCTCTAGGCTGAGGACGATCACGCTGCCCTAAACCCCAATGTGAAAGTGACCGGTTATGAAAATGAAGTGAGGTGTCGCGGACCTCTTTTCCAGCGCACTATGCGCGGATATAACTGAGGACTCGCAGGTGCTAAGGGAGGGTGGTGTCGCGGACACTGCACTCTTTATTCTGCCGCCCTATGCACGGATATAACTGAGGACGCGCGGGTGTCGCGGACCTCAATTCTGCCGCCCTATGCTATGCGCGGATATAACTGAGGACACGCGGGTGCTGATGGAGGTGTCTATCTCTATTTTGTCGTCTATGCGCGAATATATCTGAGGACGCGGGTGGTGAGGGAGGTGTCACGGACATAACTGAGGACGCGGGTGGTAAGGGAGGTGTCGCGGACGCCGCCCTCTATATACTGCCCCCCTAGGCGGCCGCCTAGGTCGCCTCTATGGACGCGCCGGCCCTGGTTAGGGTTTGGAGTGTGTGTAAATGTTAATAACTGTGATTGGATTGGAGTATTTGGAGACTTTAATAATGGTTATGGTAGGGTTAAAGTTTAAGGAAGATGTAGACTTTAATGACTGATGGTTGGGTTAAGGGTTGGGGAAAGTGTAGACGTTAATAATTGTGATGGTTGGGTTAAGGTTTGGGGAAGGTGTAGACGATAATAACAGGGATAGTTGGGTTAAGGGTTGGGGAAGATGTAAACGTTAATAACTGATGGTTGGGTTAAGGGTTGGAGTAAGTGTAGACGTTAATAATTGAGATGGTTGGGTTAAGGGTTGGGGAAGATGTAAACGTTAATAACTGTCATGGTTGGGTTAAGGTTTGGGGAAGATGTAGACATTAATAACTGGGATGGTTGGGTTAAGGTTTGGGGACACAGTGTCCTGTCGTTAATTAACCTATGCGCGTCAAGTCCTTGTTCTGTAGATGTAGATGATGTGTCATGTCATTTGTTTATTTACATATTTCTCAGTTTTGCTAAACTTTGCTGCATTGCAATAGTTTCACTTGTGTATGCATTGAAAATTCCAGATTAATTTGTTTCTCTCACTATAACCACTAACCCTTAGCAAATCCATGAATTATAACTGCTTAGGGCAATTTAAAAAAAATAGTCGTCTTGGGTATAAAAATCTAAGTCGTAACAGCTTTCAAAACATGATTAATACAAAAACATAATTACTATTATTAATCTCCTCTATTACAGACTCTGATTCATCAGTGCGTTTATGTTCACTTACACACACTCTAATTGAAATGTCAGTAAGAGGTTAACAGAGTTCACCGAAAGTTCAGCCAAATTCCTTTACTGAGCTGCATCTGGAAACAGCGTGTGATTGGCTGTTGTGTCTGAGCAGTCACAATTTTTTTAAGTATGCAGAAAAAACGTAAACTAGTGTGCTCAACCATAGAAATAATAATACACGTGTGTGTGTGGGTGTCTCACCTGCAGGTGTAGTTGAGGTTCCGTCTGATGCTCCTTTTGAAGAAACTCTTGCACCCTTCACAGGTGAAAACACCATAGTGCTTCCCGCTGGATTTGTCTCCACACACAACACAGTCCACCACGCAGGCCTTGTCCTCCTCGCCACCTTCCACATCGCTGTTCCCTGCCTGGGGCGAGCTTCCCTCCTCCTCCCCCCGCAGGTAACCTTTCTCACCGAGTCCATTAGCACTGCCATTGGGGTTGGCCCATCCCCCGCTCACCATGGCCATCTCTGTGTACACCAGCAGGAGCTGCTCGAGAAACCTTCCTGCGTCGAGAATTCAGAGCCGCCCTGGAGCGAATCCCTTTAAGCTGCAGACAGTAAGCCGAAGAAGTCAGAGTCTGAGGGGGAAAAAAACACGTTTAACAGCACTCTGAAGACCTCCGAAGCTTACCAGGCTGACATGTTTTTGCCGCCAAATGTCATATCAAAATCCTGTCAGGGGAACACTCATCCCGGTGCTTTTCTTCTTGTCCTCTAACCACAAAAAAGTCTCTGAAGATCCCAAGATTGCTTTGAATCAATGAGCAGCTGAGAGTTGGACAGCTTACCTCGCCCTTTTCACAGGAAACAATAAATTACAGATAAACGCACCCAGACTTCAGGGGAAAAGACGAGCTCATCCACATGCTGCACAGCTCAGAGACTGGGATGAAATGAAACTCTTTCTCAGCTGTGTCATTACACTGGGAAAACCTACTCGACATGCCCCCTAGTAACCAACAAGTTAAACCAGTTCTTTTCGTACTAACAACCATGCAGTCCTGTTTAGAAATGCTGATGGTATTACAGGTCAAATTGTGATGGTTTGAATCACTCAGTCTCAGGTTTTATTAACCTAAAAATCACATTAGATCTCTTGGTGTCTCCGTTGCTTCTCAGGGACAGCAGTGAAATCAAACAGAGATCAAACGGAGAGTTTAGATTAAGCCTCCAGGTTCCAAGGATTTCCGTGTAAGAACACACCACTAATTCCCGCAAGTGTGTCCTCTAGAGTTTCAGATGAGTTTTTCAGCATGTGGTCAGAACACACCAAAGTCTGTGAACTCAAACATGACTCATCCTATTCTTACTAAATAAACTGAGACATCGTAATTATTTTAAAGCTTTATGTTTTAACTGTACGCCAACAATCTACACTTCAATCGCATAAAGAATTGTAGCAGTAACATATATAAGGTATCTAAGACAAGGTTGAGCACTGTGACCTCCAGTCCTCTGTGCAATGAAAGTGCAGCCTTTGAGCAATAAACTTAAGGGTTATCTAACCTTCATATAATCCAAAGGAAGCTGCTTTATTTACACTGCATGTGAAGAGTTGATTTCCAAACGGAAGAAAGCCAGAGTCACAAACACGCGGACGGCAACCTGGGTAATGATAAACAGCACTCAAGAGTCACCCCCACCCTGCTCCTCAAGGATCAAAGTTCAAGAAAGTTCCTCGGTCTGTCATCTTTTAAACAACACAACCCAGAACTCTCTTCTTACTTAGTTCTCACAGTAGCACCTTTTAGCTGTGCAGAAGAAAATATCAGTGCAAATATAAGAGAGAGAGAGAGATTCCTTCAGTACCTTGTTTTGTTAGTGCCGGTGTGTCCAGCTGTATGGTCTCCAGGGCCTCAGCATTCCTAGGAGCCAAAGCAAAGCTCTTTTAACCATTTGCTGCTTCCCGTCCCTTGCCTTTCTCCATTCATCAGTAAATCATGAGATCCAGCGGTCAGGAGAGACAGCTGACCCGAGCGTCTGTGGTGACTGGCCAACAAGCTTCGCTCTGTTCTCTCTCTCTCTCTCTCTCTCTCTCTCTCTCTGAGTAGCGGAGGGTGAGCGAGCGTGTGTCTGTGTGTTCAGGGATTTGACACTGCTATTCAAGCCCTCTGGTTGCCATGGTGCTACCTTCCTTATAAGGGTAATAGAGTCAAAGAGCAGTGAGTGGGCTGTAGCCACTCTACACAAACAACCAGGAATGCGTTACCACACACACGGTTAACCCCTCAAGGGATGACCATAGGTGCACTTAGCGCACATCTAAGAATGGTGAAGACTTCCAAAAGGAAGGTCTCAACATCAGAAGGTGATTCAAATATAGCATTATTCAAACCAAATGGCATGACAGAGAATGCCCACAAATCAAAGTTTTTACACTTGATTGAGTTTCTCAACCAAACTTGGATCGTGACCACCAAAAGATAAGCAAGAGAAGCAAGCAACATGTGTGTCATGTTATTCTACCAGTCATCATCTGTTAATATAAACATTGTCTTTGTTTTACTCAGATGAATTCTGGGTAGACCGTTTAGAGCTGCTGTATATGTGGTGTATTGGTGCAGTCAAGAGCTTAGAGCTGCTTTGCTAATCTGATTTAGAGCTTCTTTAGATCACTCTCGGTGGAGGAAGCTCACAGAAATCTTTCGGTCGTCTCATCTGATTGTTTTGGCTTTTACCCTGCTTAAAGAAACATCCTCAAGCAACCAAAGCTAACCTGTATTGGAAGTTAGTTTAGGCCATTGTAGATGGTTCCCAAGCATAACTGCCCAAAGCTCTTTTAAAGTCAGCAAACCAGTTCAGCTTGTAGAAAGTCAGATAGTACAAATATTGTTTTTACAAAAAGTTGACACTAAATGTAAGCTAACTCTGTCCTTTTCCCTCTTATCATGAAGTATATCCAATTGAAACTGCTTCTGAAATGAAATAGTTTCGTCCCTTGGGAACCAATTGGATTGTTGGAAGAAGGTGTCGCTAACAAAATATTGACAGTTTGCTCTCATTGGTGGAGGGTTACTGTCCATCCGATGGTGATCAGAATGAGGAGCTAAAGGGAATCATATCATATTTGTTCGAACTACTTCTTCCCGCAAAGGCAAGGAAGAAATGAGACATGTACTATTAGCCCCGCCCTAAAAGACAGATAGCCCCACCCCAAAGGCATTCCATGTGACTAGAAATGATGAAGAGTCATTTTTAAGGGGGTGGAGGGGGGGGGGGGGGGGGTAGGTTATGATGTTTGATAAAAGATTATGAGGGCAAATAAGTTTTTACAAAGCAATTAAGTGCATTAACAATTTGTTTATAACATCGTATGCTAACCGATTGAAAAAAGAAACTGTTGCACACTAATATATTTTTTATTTTATTAAATTTTCTATTTAATAACACAATTATATTTTCTTACGTTTTCACGATTTCATCCTTTTACCGCTAAATCATAGCAATTAATGTCTTAAATTGTTTCTAAGGACTTGACACATGCATTTAATAATAGATCTTTACTCTTTTAGAAAAAAGAATCTTCTAATTTGTTGAACATTTTAGATTTATAACTACAGTGAAACCCCAGATCCACCCATATAGAAAATAAATAAGGGAAATTGTATGAAACATACCACAGAAAGTAGGTTATGAAATAATAGGTACAATTGGTAACCTTCAGTAAGATATACTCTTATACACAGCAGAGTTAATGCTGTATTTCTTTGTACTGTTTGTCTTCAAGTCACGTTTAACCATTTGTTTGAATGATTTACATCCTATAAAATGCAGATGGCACATTTTTGACCTCAGTTAACTTGAGTTGATGTGTTTGTTTTCACTCTCTGTGTGTTTTCAGGTTTCTGGGGTTTAATTGTTGGTCTTTGATCTGGAATGCAGCCCCTCCTGGAGTGATCAGACTGATCAGTATCTCTCTCTCTCTCTCTGACATACAGTCTAAATTATTCGCCCCCCTGTGATTGTTTTTTTTTTTAGGGTGCTTTCACATCTGTAGTTCACTTCATTTGGTCCGGACCAAGGGTATTAAATGATGCATTGTTGCATCTTCTGCCGTCTTTGGGTCATTTTCACACCACACTGCTGACTTTGGTCCGAACCAGTTAAACGAACCAAAATGCAGTCATCTGACGAAATCCACATCTCTCATTGGCCAGATGTTGTTGAACATATTTCCTAAACTGCTTATTGATTGGTCAGAATTCACGTGCGGGAAAATGCCAGTGAACTCCCGCAGGTAAACAAAACCTTTTACTCTGGACGGACGACTGCGCTGGCTGATTGTATCCCTGCTTTAGACAAACTATACATTACGAAAATGAAGCGCGGCCGCGGCTGGAAAACAGTGTTTGATGCATCGCTTGCCACTTCAGGAGGAGACGTGAATTAATTTAGCTAAACTGTGACATGGTCATCTTGCAGAAATATTACCAACGATCCATCAGGTAATGTTTTCCCCTCTCTCTCTCTCTGTTGGTAAAGCGCTGTCAACAAATATTTTTCCTCCATATCCCATAATGCACAGCGCATCGGCCTACAGCAGCTGAATTAGTCCAAAACGCGCAGTACTTTTTGCGGTTGGACCTGTTTTAGTACGGATCATATTCTCACCACAAACAAACCGCTCCAGGATTCGTTTGAAAGCGTACCGAGACCACCTCTTTAAGCAGGTCTCGGTACGCTTATTTGGTCCGCTTTTGGTGCGCACTCGAGTACGATTGCTGCATTCTCACCTAACCAAACGAACCGTACCAAAAGGGGAAACGAACTCTAGTGCGATTCAATCGAACTAAATAAGGCAGGTGTGAAAGCACCCTTACATATTTCCCAAATGATGTTTAACAGAGCAAGGCATTTTTCACAATATTTCTTGTATTTTTTTTTCTTCTGGAGAAAGTCAAATTTGTTTTATTTTGGCTATAAATAAAAGCAGTTTTTAATTTTTTTTTTTTGATAATTTTAAGGGCAATATTAATCAAAAATTCATGTCGATTGTTTACAGAACAAATTAATGATATACAATTATCTACCTAATTACCGTAAAGGCTGATTTATACTTCTGCGTCAAGTGATCGACGTGACCAACGCCGCCTGCCCTGCGCATAAATGCCGTCGTGCATTTACACTTCTGCATGCTGTTTGTGTTGCTCTGCAATAACACTTTCGAAACGCTAGCTGGAAGTAATTTTCAAATGTTCCTCTGTGTCGTGTTTCGTATTTCGTTTTCTCTGAACACTACAAGTAGCTAAAACTCGCTTGTTCAGAGGTGGAAGCAGGCAGACGTGCAGCAACTTTAATCATAAGGTAAACACAAAACAAAAGTTTCCATATGGAGCTCCTTCACAGGACTCACCACTTGTAAACACTCGCTCCATCGGGCTTGCAGCTCTCAGCACCGCCCATGCTCATCACTGGTACCAAGCTGACCAACCACAGAGCTTACGCAGTGTGTCGTTGCAACATGTAGTTACATTTTTTTGAGAGATGCGCATCGGTGTCTACCATTGCCTAATTATCTTAGTTAAGCCTTTAAATGTCACTTTAAGCTGAATACTAGTGTTTTAAATAATATCTAGTAAAATATTATGTGCTGTCATCATAGCAAAGAGAAAAGAAATTAAAAGTATTATGCTTTAAAATTAGTTGAAAAACTCGTATTTCCGTTAAACAGAAATTGGGGAAAAATATACAGGGGCGAATAATTCAGAAGGGCTAACAATTCTCACTTAAACTGTACTGTATATAAGCCTATGTGGAGTCTTCCCTTTAAAAGAACATTACATTTTTTTCTGCCCTTGATTCTGTTGTTTTATCATCTGTATTATAACCAACGATTGAATGAATATTAGAGTTTTTAGGAAAAATCTTGATTTCACCAACGCTGTGGCCTTATGACATTAATAGACTGTCTGAGCTCTCGCTTTCAGGTGTTGAGGAATGCGGGCTTAAACATTAACCATTTCAAAGGCGTAAACCTATTTGACAGCAACGCGCACAGAACTCAACCTCTATTAGCGTCACGGTGCTTTCTGACCCATGCGAGAGGTCTGCCTCCTGACGTTGCAGAACCTTTGACCTTAACAGAGAGAAGCGTCAGACACTGACCAGCACACCACAGCGGGCCGTGCAAGAACATCTGCTAGGGCCACAGCGGATCACGGCAGGGCCAAGAATCAACATTCTCCACCCTGAGAAAAACAGAGGAAGCTGCCCTCATTTGGTGGGAAAGTCACACTTGAGCAATTGTCATTCAAATGAGTTGACCTCAGTATTGATTACAAGGTTTTTAAAGATGTCTCACACCAACTAAATATTTAGTCAAGTGTTCTTCTAAACAAAGGAGCACTAAACAAAAAAATACCAACATTGCACATGAATTTGCTCATATTACATCTATAAAAATATATCAGCTCTAGTACAAATACTAGTGCAAATTGGTTTCAAATATGTAAAATGTCACATTTCTGTCGCTGTTCTTTTATAGTTGATTCTTTGAAACTAATATTACGATTTTCATTTTTAACAATGAATCACATTTGATCCAATGCAACTTCTCATACACTGTAAAAAATCAAATTTTACAATAGCTGGGGTGACGGAAATAAAAACCAAATTTTAAATTACTGAAATTTAATTTAATTTTCTGGTAAAAATTTCTGTAATTTTCATACATTCATTAATTTTCTGGTCGGCTTAGTCCCTTTATTAACCCAGGGTCGCCACAGCGGAATGAACCGCCAACTTATCCAGCAAGTTTTTACGCTGCGCATGCCCTTTCAGCCACAACCCATCTCTGGGAAACATCCACACATACATACACACACAATTTAGCCAACCCAATTCACCTGTACAGCATGTCTTTAAACAGTGGGGGAAACCGAAGCACCCGGAAGAAACCCACGCGAACGCAGGGAGAACATGCAAACTCCACACAGAAACGGCAGCTGAGCCGAGGCTCGAACCAGCGACCTTCTTACTGTGAGGCGACAGCACTACCTACTTCGCCTATTTCTGTAATTTAACGGCTGGTATTTTACGGGGTTTTTTCTGG